ACGTTCCGGGTGCGTTCTTTAAGCCGAAAGGCATACGAACGTACTCGTAATGTCCGTTTTCAACGTTAAATGCGGTTTTCTTAACATCCTCAGGATGCATCTCAATCTGGTGAAAACCACTTGCCAGATCTAACGTTGAAAAGTACTTACATCTGCCCAACTTATCTAATATATCAGTAATATTAGGCAGGGGGTAACGGTCATCTATCGTTTTCTCATTGATTTTTCTGTAATCAACGACAATGCGCCATTTCTTTTTACCTGACGCGTCCGTCTTTTTAGGAACAATCCAAATCGGCGAAGACCATGGGGAATCGCTAGGTCGGATAATTCCTTGGTCGAGCATTTCGTTGATTTGTTTTTCTACTTCGGGTTTGTGTATGAATGGGTAACGGTATGATTTGGAATAAACAGGAATTTCGTCTACGGTTTTGATTCTATGTTTCACTTGATTAGAAAATGTTAATTTAGAGTTTTCTCTGTGAAAAATATCTGAATAGGATCTACAAAGGCTTTGAATGTGATGTTTTTCTTCACTATTCATATGTTCTGTACGAATGAGATTTGTGACATCAAATTTATTCAAGTTTTGTTCTTCATAAGGTGAAATAAATGCATGAAAAATTTCAAAGTCGTTTCTTTCGAAATGTCTAGCTGAGATCGGAAGGTTAAGTTTAATTTCTTGAACAAAGTCCGTTCTATTTTGGATATCTACAGGGGCGTAACCATTTTTTGCGGTGGTCAAACAAGCGGGTATACGACATTTTGACAAGTTTGTTTCAGGAATAATTATTTCGCCATTTTCTTTATCAACGGGAATTCTAAAAGATTCTGTGGAACACGGTTCAATACGGGCAAAGAACAGCAATTTGTTTCTTGTCTCGTACATGTGTAACGAAATTTCGGTTGTGGGAGTTTTGATCACTGAATTTGAAATTTTGATATCTACATTTAAATCTTTCAACGTTTCATAGCCAATAAGGCCATCGAAAAAATTATGGAACTTAAATAAATAGAATTTGATTTTCTTGTCGCAATTAAATTCGGTAAAGGCTGGTATTTCGGCACATAAGTTTCGCGAGGTAGTTTGAAAAATAGAAGATATTGTGAATGGTTCATTTCTTATAAATTCGGGGAAGTGAATTTCGGCAATTTCTGGGTTTAGGAATGATTTTGTTGCACCAGTATCAATAAGCAATTTTAGAGGTGGATTGGAAATTTCAATATAAGGCAGTTCTTTACGATCATAAATTGAATTAATTTCTATGTATGGTTTTCTTTTTGCTTGGCTATTTGAAAATTTTGTTCTGGGTTCGTATTGTGTTCTAACTGTTTGCATGATTTCTCGGAAATTTCTTCAGAGTCGTGTTCATAGTAATCTACAGCGTATTGAGGGTCATTGTCAGGATAATAGTCGTCATATTCGCATATTTCATATTGTTGAGAAGGTCCGGGAATATCATAGTCGGGAAGGTAGTTGTCTCGGTAGTTGTAAGGTTCAAGGTTGTGTATTTCATCTGGCGAAAAATTCGAACGTTGAGGCTGATATGAATTTTGTCGGGGAATTGTGCCATGAGATATGCCACTCATTGGCGTCGGTCTAGGTCGGGAAATTGAATTTTGTTGGTTAGGTCTCCAAACATAAGTTGGGTTTCTTTGTTGACCAAAAACTTGACTGTTTGTTAAAAATCTTTGAGGTTGACTTGGTTTAGATTGAATATTAATAGGTCCACGTGGGAAGTTATGGTATTGATTGAAATTTGGAATATTGTGTTGATTATTACGTGCAAAATTTTGTGAATTGAAATTTGAATTATTATTGAAGTGCGTATTACTATGTTGGAAATTTTGAATTGGTCTCTGAGGTCTATTTCTGGCATGCTGATTATAATTTTCAAATTGATGCGGCTTTTGTAAATGACGGATATTATTTTCCGAAATGATATATTGTCTTGCTTCCGCTAGACTAGTGGGTTTCATGGCTCGAATAGTTGATCCTAGAGGTTCTTTAAGACCGGCAAGAAATATTTTCAAGGCATGAGTATTGTAAAATGTTTTCTTGATATGTTTCGTTTGCGGAACTACTTCATGAGTGTCAATATAATTATGCAGAGCGCTCAAGTTAGACATAACTCTTGTATAATATTGTAAAGAAGGTTTATTATTTTGTTGTCTCAACTGATCTAAATCAAACAAAAGTCCGTTTTCGTCTCTTTGGTCTCCGAAATGGGCAACCAAAGCGCTTTTTACGGATTGCCAATCTTTGGCAATGCAAATGCTATAAACTTCTCTAGCTTTACCTATTAATTTGGAATAAATTCCGTAAATAATAGTCGTATTCTGAACACAATTTATGTTAGCAGGATTTGGATCCCAATATGTATTTATGATTGTATTTGCTGTTTCTAAAAATGATGATAATTCCAGCGGATTGCCATCAAATTTTGGAACTATTTCTAATAATTTCGATTCGAAATTTGGAACTGACATACTTGAATCGTTAGGTACTAAATTAGGTGAATTAGTTTGACTTTCAGTATCTTCTACTAGTGATAAAGTTTCAAAAATTGAGCTTATCTCACTATCTAAATTTAAACGTAAATCTAACTCGTTCGCTCTATTTTCTGCAATAGAATCAGGCAAGGACGAGGAGAATGACATAGACAGTAAAAGGAAAGCAACTTACAATACTAGAATGGTGTTGATGGTCTTCATCAGGTACTCGAAGTCTTCAGGGTTTTCCACTGCGGAGGTCCTCTGAATAAACAGCTTGAAAACCGACGGGATTTTCACGATGAATGCCCGTTCAGTATCCTACCGACTGCGCCACTTTATGTTTTTGGTTATCACCAAAAGCTTTTTAAAAAATGAATTTATTTATTGAACACAAAAATATCGAAGTTTTATCAGAGAGAAAATTACAATGCGTCTTTACTGTGTGAAGTCTATGTCAAATCTGATGAGAACTAGTCGGTGAACGTCTCGTTTCCTGCAAAGCGTAAACTGATTCTGCATCCGTCAGCGGTCTCAGCATATCCCGTGAGAACATGGTAGCTTATGATGTTCCCATACATAATTTGATTACTATAATTCATGTGATTATGAGTTCCGATCAATACATTTTCTAGCTTATTTTGTCTTATTTATACTAAAAAAACAGTTTTTTTCTTTGTCAATCCTACCCCGATACGACGTTTTTACGAACTTTGTCGGCTTATATCTCAGAAACTAAACATACAAAACTTTTCAAACTCACATATTTTTTCAATGAGCCATCCCACAACAACATAGTAAAATATCAGCCAATTCGACCGAGAGCCAATTTCCCGTGTTTTCGTGCGGGGTCCTTTGTGGAACTCTTGTACTGATAAGCCGATCGCCGATCAATTTTTATTATTCAAAATTCTCTCCTCGTTTCTACAAAATAAAAATATGAGTATTAATTTCAATATATGTCTAGCAGGACAAATCAGATGATTGCCTCAAAATGTCACTGGGTTTAACAATTTTATTTATCAGGGAGTCTAAACGAAAAATCCAATAGCTTGTCAGTGACACTTTGTTTGAAGAGAAGAAATATAGATATATTGAAATAAAATTGAATTTTTACTTATCTTTGGCCGTTTTGGGAACGAATCTGCTCCCATTCTCAACATAAAAGTAGGAAGGAAAATATTTTGCATTTTTGTGTTGAGAACGGGGCAGGTTCGTTCCCGAAACGTCCACATATAAGTGAAAATTCGATATTATTTCAATATATCTATATTTCTTCTCTTCAAACATTTTTTCAAACAAAGTGTCACTGACAAGCTATTGGATTCTTCTTTTAGGCTCCCTGAAAAAAATTTTTTTGAACGCAGTGATATTTTGGGGTATATTATCTGATTTGTCCTACTACACATACCAGATGTCAACGAATCTATTAGACAAGTCATAACTTCTAGACCATTAAGTGTATCAAAATGAGATTTGATATAGGTAAATGGTATGTGAAGAGGAGAGTTTTCACATATTTTTTACTTTCCGGTCACTTCCGGCTTCACCGGAAATGGCTCCAGTTCTAAATTTTTAAATGGAACACCCTGTATATTGTAACATTTTTGGATTTCTGAGACAATTGTAGATCAGAATGTGACATTTTCGAAAGTTTTTATGCCTAATTAATTTTTTCGGAGTCACTTTTGGAATTACTTCTAGGTGGCCAAGATTTGAAGTAAACTAATCTAAGGACCTCAAGTATTATACTTCTACCCAATCAAAGGGTTCAAACTTGAACGATGGAAACTTGTTATTTTCATAGACCTCAATCGCAGATTCGTGATTAGGTTTTCTCAATTCAGAATTTCTTTCCACGTCCTGTATGATGAATATCAATTTATCATACATAAAAAAAAATTGTCAAAATCATTTCATGAATGGGCTTATATCACAAGAAATGTTTATTTCATAATTCGATAGAACTCACCCAAACTAGCTCACCACCGCAAACCGTTTCTTGCTGTGAGCTCCCTACGCTTTATAAAAAATTATTGAAATCCCCGATTTTTTGGACCTCTGAAAACGAGGCGATGATGTGACGTCAAAACCCTAATACTGAAACAAGACTATTCCAGACAGAGATAAATGATACATGATTTCTGACACAGTGAATTAGCGCGAGATCACAGTTGAAAGAATTAATATATCAGTTGCCTCAGTCTCCGCCGGGCGTTTGGTATTTTCTTTTAACTATGGCGAGATAAGGTTTCTACGTCATAAGAGGGTCCGTTTTCAGAAGGTACTATCATTTTTGTCCAAAAATAAAACATTCCAGTTAATTTTTCGATCGAATTATGTCGTCAATCATTATGTATGTATAAAAGGATCATTACAAACATGGTTTGAGTTAAAAATTCTACTAAGGTGTACACGCCCATTGAAAAAAATATGAGGGGTGCTCGCTTCCAAACGGTTCACTTTGTGCGATATTTTTAATCAGTAGAGGAAAAAAATGTACATCATCTTATGAACAATATATTGTCATCGGCAATTGCAATACACAATCTAAAATAATCAGAGTGAAAATCGTGATACCTAACACTGTCAAGCTTATGTACCAAATGTATGTCTCCAACTGGGTCACCCTTAGATTTCTCAATATGTTCACTCCGAAGAGAAGCCCAATCACTGCTCCTCCGAAGTGACTCCAATAACTCACATTATTGGACGATGTCATCTGTGCGCAGATAGCGTCAATCACTATTATGATGGTAAATAATATCAAGCGTACAGCGGGATGGCTCATTTCTCTCCAATTCTAAAAAAATAATCAGGGTTGAATAATACACGCAGTTCCAAAAAATGTGACGCACTTGATATTTGACCTATCTTCTTAAAAAAAAAGGCCGATTTACATTTTTTCTTTATTTGTTGGTAGGTAATGCATTTGTCTTAAAAAAAAATAAAGAGGTGTACATTTTTTCAAAGCCTCCTTGATGGTGGTGGAATAACTCTAACCATGATTTATTCTTAATTTTTGACTCACCCTGTGTGTTAATTGAATAATGGCATAGTAAGTGCTTACACCCTATACGAAAGAGGCTTCTTTTGCGAGCATTTTGTTTTATTCATTGATTTATCTCTATCTACAGCTTTTTTTTGCCGAATCCTTGCAGATTACCAACTTTCTGAATTCATCGAGAAACAATTTTCTAATGAAATAAACTAATACCAATAATTTTAAAAAACATTTTTATTAAACACAAGATTATAAATTGGGATGACTGCTTAATACCGTGTATTGCCTCCTCTAGCAACTCTAAGAACTTCTAATCTACGAGGCATACTGGAAATGAAATTGCTTATCGTTTCCATTAGTAGACGATCCCATTCTTCCACTAATGCATCTGCCATTTCTGCGAGTCTTTCCGGAGACCTCTCGCGAGAACGTACCCTTCTCCCTAATTCATCCCACAAATGTTCTATAGGATTCATATCGGGGCTTCTCGCAGGCTATTGTAATGTGGTAATACTAGTAGCTTCTAAGAAGTTTCGCACTATTGCTGCGGTGTGTGGTCGGGCATTATCCTGCATCAATATAAAATTATTGCCCACTAACTCTGCATAAGGTAATACATAATGCTCTAAAATGTCAATGTAAATTTGGGCATTTATCGACTGCCTCACCGGAAAAACATGAAGGGGTGTGTTTCCATTCATTGAAATCCCTCCCCACACCATAACGGACCCACCATTGAAACTTTCGCATTCTGTTATTACATTTTTTATTAAACCGTTCACCAGTTCTTCTCCACACTCATTTTCTTCCATCCACCATGATAAGGCAAAACCTTGACTCATCCCTAAACAAGACATTCGACCATTCAGGAATATTCTACTGTCCATAAATTTTAACAAAATTTCTTCTAGCAGCACGATGTTCGGGCAATAATTTGGGACCTTTTGCAGGTCTTCTAGCTTTCAAATTAACTTCTTTTAGACGTCTACATACCGTCTGCTTACTTACTGCAACATCACGAATTTGGCGAAGATCTTGCTGAACATTTACCGCAGTATTTGATCGATTCCGTAAAATCGGCAATCTCAAGAAGCGATCATCTCTTGGAGAAGTTTTTCGGGGGCGACCAGAATCGACCCTCCGAGCGGAGCTTCCTGTTTGTTCGTACTTGCGGATTGCTCTACAAGCAGTTGCTTCACGAACCCCCACTGCACGAGCAGCGTGACGTTTACTACGCCCATCGTTTACTAACGCAACTAATCTTGCTACTTGTTCAGGATTTTTTATTTGAGGCATTTTATGTAATTTTAGTCAATAAAACAAGACACTTAATTAATGACACAACGACAAATGGTCAAATATGGAGGCATTATAACAAATTAGTTGCTATGGCAACGGCATTTGTTTTTTTAAAGACAATGTGATCCTACCAGAGTACAACCCAATCAATTTTGAATACTCTGATCCTTCAATAAATTTAATTTGTGGGATAAGCGTAAGGTATCAGCAATAAAGCTGTAATTCGGAAAATTTTAGAAATAAATCAATGAATTAAAAAACGAAATGCTCGCAAAAGAATCCTCTTTCGTGTAGGGTGTAAGCACTTTGTATACCATTACTCAATTAACACACAGGGTGAGTCAAAAATTAAGAATAAATCATAATAAATACATTCAGGTCTAATGACACGATCATAACTGACTGGTACCATAAACCATCATACTCTGAAAGATTTTTAAACTATCACTCCGATCATCCAATGACACAGAAAATTAACATCATTACTAATCTTAAACACAGAGCTACACGATTAGCACATGAGAGTTTCAAAAACCAAAACCTGAAACTTATTGAAACGATGCTACTCAAAAACGGCTACCCTAAATCTTCAATTAAAAAATTAGTATACACCGACAGAACAAATACACAAAGAGAAAAAGCACCTTTGAACATGAAATATTTTAAATTACCGCATGTAGCAGGTCTCACACCCCAACTACGCAAGGTTTTGGAGAATGAAAATCTCAAAGTCAGCATGAAATATGAAAACACAGTTAAAAATCATTTCTTCACGAGACTCAAATCAAAACACCAAAAGATCTGAAATCCGATATCATTTACAAAATACCATGTGCTGAATGTGAGAAAGTGTATATATAGGACAAATAGGAAGGTATCTACAGCAAAGGAAGATTGAACACAGCAGAGATTGTATAGAAATATACACAATCCGCTGAAAACAATGAAAAATCCCACTAGCCTGGCAGAACATTGCAAGTCATCACTCCATACCTTTGACTTCAATTCTGTTAGTATTATAGGATAACAGACAATATTGAAAAAAAATACTCTTGAACGAAATGATTGAAATGGAACAAAATGTGTTAACAAAAGATCGGATATTGAGAATTTACACACCTCATATTTCAATTTAATAGAAAAAATCAAACAATAATTCCGAGTCATCAGCAGGCGACTTTTTTCCAATCCCGATTATTATTTCTTTCACGAGCCTTTTTTGCAATATGAAGCAACGATTCAACGACAGTTTAGTTTGTTCATTCCTTCATGTTCGTGTATGTGTTAAGGTCTTTCATGAACCTGTGTGTACGTATTTATACTTTATGCCGATTTTATTTATTTCACTATCTTTAATCCCGGAAAGAAGAACTTCCGAGTGGAGCTGAGCAACAAGCGCAAACGGAGCACAGAATCCATCGAATCACTGGGAAGGAACACCATTACTTGGTATACGGACGGGTCTAAAACACCCGAGGGAACTGGAGCAGGAGTCTTTGGGCCTCGCACCAAATACTTCGAATCCATTGGACAATTCCCCAGCATTTTCCAAGCAGAAATACACGCCATAGGAAGATGCATCCAGTTCAACCTAGACAGGAAATACCGGAAGAAGGACATCGCGATTTTATCCGATAGCCAAGCAGCCATCAACTCGAAGATGGTATGGGAATGCCTAAGCAAATTGAATGAGCTAGGCAGCAACAATAAAGTGATCCTCCTCTGGGTGCCAGGGCATATTGGAGTGGAGGGGAATGAACAAGCAGACGCTCTGGCACGACAAGGGGCTTCAACGCCACTGATCGGACCAGAGCCATTCTGCGGCCTTGGAAATTCCTATTTCCAAGGAGAACTTGAGAAGGCGGAAGGAGCCTGGAGAGCCAGACAATGGAGAAGACTTCCAGGACTACGGCAGGCTAAAGATCTCCTTGGAAATTTCAACCGAGAAAGATCTAAGACACTGACAAACCTCAGTAAAGGAAGTCTCAAAGCAATAACGGGATTTCTAACGGGGCATTGCAGACTCAAAGAACACCTAAGGAAGCTAGGCTTACAGGAGGACGGCACCTGCAGATTCTGTGAGGAAGAACCAGAAACACCCCATCACATACTGATGGAGTGTGACGCTGTACATCACGAAAGATTGAACATACTGGGAACACACCAGCTGACTGTGGAAGAAATACCACAGCTAGACCCCCTCAAAATCCTCAAATTCCTGAAGGAATTGAATCTCGAGGGGCTGCTATGAACAAGAAATCCTTGATATAGCAGGAGCAGATGGGGCACAATAGATCTAATAGGGTCGCAGCGCACCTGTCACCATCCAACCTACCAATACCAATACCAATCCCGGAAAGCCACCCTAAAGGTAAGTACCTATCAATGTTGTTTTCTGTAAAGTGTGTTATTTTCAACGTTTGTTATTTTACATAACTTATTCTGCTTTTATCATTTTAATAATAATATGTATGATCTTGTTTTTACTTCAGTGTCCTGAAGATGAAACAATAAAGTTTCGAAACGTCGACAATTTAAAATTTGCCAACTCAACACCAGAAATCATATTCAACGGTCGCCATTCTATTCAACTGTGCTTTTAGTCCAAATAAGATTGTAGGTTACTCATAATCTACTCACCAATATGACCACTGCCACATGCGCTGTGTAAAAGGAATATGCGCCGGCGCTACCGCCGACCAATGGTGTTCGATCTATCACAGAATGGAAGAGAGCGCCTCCAATGACGCCGGCAAAGTATAAACACGGTATTCTCCACGTGTGGACCAGTTCAAGGGAAATTCCTAACACCAGTTGCAAAATGACGTTGGCAAATAGGTGAGACTCACTAAAATGACACACATGATGAATAATCTTTATCTTTCGGATCTCGCAACAGGGAATCCGTATAGTTGAACACCATGTGTACGGGTGGGCCAAATTAGTAACTTTTGAGGGAACGTCCTATTCTCCAACAAGTGTAACGATTATTTCGTTCTATTGAGATGTTTTCAATCAATCAACCATTTGATTATCTGACGTCCATTCGTTCTTCTATCTACTTCCGCTTATCAGCCCTTCATCGGTTCAATAGCCATATCGAATTTATCAAGTCTTGCGCGCTCGTCCTTCCCGCTAGACAGCGACACAGAAGATCGAAGAAGGGAGACTAAATAACCAATCAGGAGAAGGAGTTGATATGACAGGATCTTTCGCGAAGAACGAATAGGAAAATCAAAGTCCTTCTGATGATTGGTTATTGATGTTCTGTGTCGCTGTCTAGCGGGAAGGACGAGCGCGCAAGACTTGATAAATTCGATATGGTTATTGAACCGGTGAAGGTCTGATAAGCGGAAGTAGATAGAAGAACGAATGGAGGTCAGATAATTAAATGGTTGATTTATTGAAAACATATCTCAATGGAACGAAATAATCGTTACACAAGATAGAAGAAAATTGATGTCGGTGTCTGAGGATCGATTCTCATGCAAAACAAAAAATGGTGAAAACCGCATATCGATGTCTTCGTTTCGGAGTTAAAAGGTGCATTTTTGAAAAGTGCCTACAAATATTTTTTTTGCAAAAATTGTATGTTCTTCGGATGTATGATGAATTGATATTCATCATGCAGGACGTGGAAAGAAATTTTGAATTGAGAAAACCTAATCACGAATATGCGATTGAGGTCTATAAAAATTCAAGTTTGAACCCCTTGATTGGGTGAAAGTATTGAAGAGGAATTTTCTCAGATATATTTATGAACACAAAAAAATGGATATACAGGGTGGGCCACCAGTAACGCCTCGGTCTCTAGAAGGCTAACCACTTATCTTCTTGGAATTCTTCCTCTCTAGGAAGTTGCATGTCAACATAGGCTACCATTTGAAATTATTTTGAAACATACAGGATGTCCCCAATAATCACAAAACACTGAAGTTGAACTTTTTTCAATCGAACACCCTATATATTATTTCATTTTGAGATTCTCCCTGATGAGCTGATTTCAACGACCCATCATACTTGGGGTCTAGCAGTTATAATTACTGAGATATAGGGTGTGAGAAATCGAGATTTTCCAAGTTCAAGAATTTTTTGTGTCTAAACCATTCATAATTGGTCAAAACGGCTCACATGTCCCTATCTCAACTTTTGATCAACTATCTACTGAAATTTAATTGAAACAAATACAGGGTGGTGCAGAATTCAGAATCTTGATCACCCGGTATATGTCCCAATTAAATATCAGTAGATAGCTAATCAAAAGTTGAGATAGGGACATGTAAGCCGTTTTGACCAATAATGAATAGTTTCATCAAAAATAATTCCTAAGGTTGAAAAATGTCGATTTGTCACACCCTATATCTCTGTAATGATTTCCGCTAGGCCCCAAGTGTGATACATCGATAAAATCAGCTCTTCAGAGAGAATCTGAAAATGAAATAAAATACAGGGTGTTCCATTTAAAATAACAAAGTTGTTGCTACTTTTCGATAGAAGCGGCAACGCCGCAGAGCTGAAAATATTTTAGATCGATAGACCAAAAGCAACTACGTGAGTTACCAAAATTTCAGAATGATCCCATGTCCCGTTCTCCATAAACGTCTAACGTACCATCGACCGTGAGTTACCCTATATAGGAGAAGTATACTTGTATGAACTCTGATCTTGATGAGCTTGAAACTTCTAAAACAATCATTCGTATCAGTGATATGGGAATTATATCTCTCACGAGCAGGTTATATGACTTCACTCGAGTAAAACTCATTTCGGATATCAAATCCTCATCAGTAACCTGATGTCCAGTTATTATTGTAACTCTGAAACGAAGATAGATATCGATATGCAGTCTTCATCATTGAGTTTGTCAGTTTTTTTTATCTAGTACGGGAATAGGAGTCAGTGCCTGATTCAGGGGGGGGGGACTATGGGACTATCAGCCCCCGGCGGTGAATTTCAAGAGGCGGTAGAGAAAAAGAGAAAAGAGGAAAAACAAGCAGAAATACAGTGGTTGACTGGTTGAGATACTGTTTTTATGAAAATCATAACATGCACTAATCTAGCGTCAGTTGTGTCTTGGACGCTACAAAACAAAAGCGGCGGCGGTACATATTTTTATTCGATGATGTGAAGAAAAACCGCATTCTACTCAGTAGAGCAGGGGTAATTTCGTGATTCGTCTAACTCAATAACAAAAAACAAAATGCCAGTGGTGATCTCAACTTTGAAAAGAGTGAAAAACTACCTTAAGAATTTCATGGTAGAGGATATATTGAATATCCTATCAATTTCAAGGAAGGAAGAGGATAGGGACAGGAGGTAGGTATTGGAATTTTTTTTGAACTTTTGGAGATTATATTATGTTGTTGGGAATACTTCCACAGGCAATGAATATAATGTAGTTCGTTGTACATAATGATTTCATGTCATTGTTATATGCTGTACAAGAAGCAGTGAAAGAATTATTTGAATTTTGAAACTGGCAATTGTAAATTGAATATTTGGCGGCGGCGCGGCAGCATCGTAAAAGTTAGCCCCCGGCGTAAGGGAGTATAAATCCGGCACTGATAGGAGTTTCTCTTCAAAAGTGGCCCACCCTATACCTGAGAGGGATTAGAATTCTTTCTCTTTTGAAGTTTTTATACAGGGTGTCCCGAAATTGCTGGGACACTGAGCTACCACGTATAATAGAGGTCAAAATAAGTTGATTGGACCCAATTTAATTATAAGCAAAAATGTACCGTTTGTTCGTGAGAAGAGTTCTGAGTTTACATCAAAAAACGGGTGCATTTCAAATTTTTACGTCGAATTGACCTTTGTCTTGATGAAGTTGTTCTCCCACGGGAGTTAATATTTTTTCCTAAATTCACAATTTTTGTTTTCTTAAATGAAGGAGCAAACGCCTATTTTCGATTCAATGAGTAGATGGAACATTTTATTCCTTCGGAAATTTGGGGAGTAGGAAGTTGTCACGAGATACAAATTAAGAAAATTCATGTCTTCTCGTTAAAAGCAATTGATAATTGTATTACCACCCTTGAGAATGTTCTGCAAAAAATGTCAGGGGATCAGAGGACTTTCAATCCATCTACAATATTTCTTGGGTTTTTTTGATTACTGAAAGGAGAGTATTCCTCTAAAATGCACTTTTGTCTGAACAGCGAACAAGAATGTGTTTTGTATGTAAACTTTGAACTCTTCTCACGGACAAACGGTACATTCTCTGGTACATAAATAACTTGGGTTCAATCAACTTATTTTGACCTCTACTACTACTCTGATAGTTCTGTGTCCCAGCAATTTTGGGACATCCTGTATACAGGGTGATTCAAATTTTGATGTAAATATTCCAAGGACGTATGGTTGGGATCAAAATAACACTTTTCTTTTTATAAACATGTGTCCTGAAGTGCAGCCTCTCTGAGCTACAGGCACTGTAAGTTGGAAAAAAAATATAACCGTAAAATGGGGTTACTTGGAACCTAGGGGTAACTCGGGACGCAACTTATTCGGATTTTACTAGCGGCAACAACGCAAAAATCAATATTACCTGTACCTAGTCAATATTTTGGTTAGTTGAACAGCAACCTGTTGATGAGTGATTTAACGAATTCATAAATTAATGATATTTCAACAGTATATACAAAAAGTGGTGGTGAGAAGCGATAAGTGGTCGAAAACGTTATCTGAAAGAGGAAGTCAAAAGGAAAACAGGTAAGTCGAATTCAATGTTTTATAGTTAGTTTGTATATTTCATAAATACTGCCAATGTCGTTGCGCGCTTCTAAATTTTTTTTAGATTTTCAAATATTTTGGGTAACTTGGGACACATTTCTTTAGTTCTTTCTGGTATTTACGATAAAAATCGTTAAAACATGTTACTTACAAAAGTCTTGTTTTGATCCCACCAAAATATGTCCTTGAAGTAATTACTTGGAATTTTGAATCATCATGTTAAGTTTACGGACACTCTGACAAGCACTTACAGTTACACATAAAATCACAACCGAATAGATGAAAAAAGTGGAAAATGGCAATAGGTCGCGTGCACGATGACCGACCCTGGAGGCTCTGTGAATTATTGAAACACAACCTCACTTTTTCATTTGGTTACAGAGGAATCAAAGGACTGAAATAGTTTTTCACAATATTTTGGTATTCGTATCGTGTTTCTTGCGTTATTCATTAATTCAAGCATGCCTTCGCATTGTGCTGTTGTACAATGCACAAAAAATGCAGCAAGAGACCAGGGAATATGATTTTTCAGGTAAATAGTAATCTCACATAGTTATATCATTATGAAATGTTGTCATTCCATATTAAAATGCCTTCTGCCACTTCTGCAATACAAGCTAATACTGTTAATAGATTGAAAATGTCTACAACACACACGATCGTCAGCATGTCAGACCAGTTCTCCCGATTGATTGCATGAATCCAATCTTCTTGCATTATTCTAGAAATTTCAGGTATATTTCTATTAGCTCCTATTGATGAGAAATCAGAGAAATAACCAAATTTCAAAAATGAAAACTATATGTGAGTGACCATAGTAGGTACTTACTTTTAAATCATAATGTAAAGTATATCGAATATCAATTGCAGAATACCTCGCACTGTGCGGCGTCGGCGTGTATGAAGTTTCCTTTGAAGTGACTGCAGGTGCGGCACGAGAATCTGCAATTGTTTTTGGATAAACTATACCATCCGGATTCCTTCATCTTCCGCTGCAGTTTTCGTGCATTTCATGCCAAAATAATTGTGAAAATTTATTTCAATCACTTGTAAACAAATAAGTAAAGTGACGTTGTGTTTCAATATTTTGCCTCCAGTGTCGGTCATCTGACAGTTCTTGCACGCAACCCATACACGAACGGTGAACATGACATAAATGTCAAAAGTTTGTCTGAGAACAAATCGCAAAAACAATGAGATGCAAGTTTGTAATGTTTCTAACTGAAAACGTACTGGGAATCGAATATCGATTTAATTTATTCGAATTTCCATTAAATTGAAACCTTATTCCTACAGACATGAATAAGTATATTCTAAGTATCTGGTTGAATATAGAATATTTATCACATTTTCATTAGGGAAGTTGATTAGAACTAGGACTCATTTTTATACCATCATTGAATCAAATTATGAGAAGAAAAAATTGGGTTCCCATTTGAAAAAATGGAGATTTCCAATGTTTCCCATTCACTTTCTGGACCCACTTTTCTGCGCAACCTCTGAATTATTCAGTGGTTGTGATTATGGTGTGTGATCCATCCAACCTCCAATATTCATGATCCAATCACTGCAGTCTCTTCAATGACGTTGCAGTGACGTATCGTTGACGTCTAAAAATCAAGTCGGTGTGACGTTCCAATTTGGCGAGCTTCGTCATTCAGAAAATTTTTCAATAATTTGCTATTCAGATTTTTGTTGGGTGACAAAGAATGCATGAATATATACGTTACTCAACAAAGTGAAGCTAAATTCGCCAATATCCTTTTCATTGCTATCAAACTATTTTTGGTTTGCTTACATCTCGCCGACACAAACTATGTAATTTTTTATACAAATACGAGTAACTGATTTCATTCTGATGGAGATGCGTACTGAGGGATAGCGCTGATGAATAGACGATTGAATAAACCTGACACCGGAGCGACCACCAAGCAGACTCAACAATGCATAATCAATATCATATATATGTCATCAGAAGTCAGTGGTGATTATCACACCGTGTTCTAGGAAACTTCTTTACGTGTCATCACCAAATTTGAACGTCATTTTGACGTCAGTCCGACGTCACAGTTTGGTGAGTAAATTACGTCAATAAATGTGAGTAATATGATCATTGGGCTGTGACTTATTCACGTCATTTATCACGTCATACGACGTCAACTCCTGACGCCACCGCATGGTCATTCAACTGACGTAAGAAGACGTCACTGAAACGGCACCTGGTTGCCTGGGATGATATGTCAGATTTTGAGCAATAATAGCTCTGGCATTAGATGCTAATTAAGTCGAAGAAATATAAAATTTCGCTATTATATCTCTAACTGCCGTAGAAAAAGTATGGTATATAACTCGTACGGAATGCTAATGTTACACTCGTATGATCCTCGTGGAAAATTACTATCATATTCTGTGCTTTGTCAACCAATATAATTATAATGATCAATATACTATACCCTGAATGGACGAACATATATGTGAAATATCTGTAAATTTGATATCTCAAACATGGATTGAATGATAGTTTCTCATAAATGTCTCCTACATCATGGTCATTTTCTCTCTTCAAGAAATTATTCACGTAATACAATATTATCTGTAGAAGTGATATAATGATCAGGCCTACGGCACTTTTCCTCCACTTCATTTCTGCATCGTAAGAACCTGTCTTTGTTATTGTTCTGCATAGCTTGGTCGTCTTTCTGTTTATCGTTGGTACAACTACGAACTTCAATATCCTGAAAGAAATAGTTATACACTGTAAATCTTTGGTAGAAGTCCATATTGCTTGAAGTGGAGTGAAATATTTCACAGGAAGGAAGGAATGCTCGAAGTCACAAATTTGAATGAGATTGTTACATGGGACATGTTTCGGTCTTATAAATGACCATCTTCAGCCTAATTGAATGGTCTACAATAAAAAAACAAATGATATTCGAGTGAAAGAATTACCTATTTTGTGCTTGACTTACTTGGAGTTGAAAAAATTTTTGATGCTACTATTTCTTGAATTGTCAATAATGCCTATAGCCAAGAATTCCAAAGTTACTGAAAAAACGGGTTCCCAACAAATGAAGGGTACCGTGCCCTGAGAGCGCATACTATTGTTTTTCTTCGAACCATTCATATAACAGAATGGGGTGGCGGAAATTTGATCGAAAGACAAATGATAGAAAAACATTTGATAGAAGTCTATTGATCAAAAGTGTTTTTGATAGAAATAGAACCATAAATGATAGAAAATACAATTGGTAGGAAAACTATTTGATAGAAAATACACTTGATAGAAACAGCATTTGATAGAAAATTCAACGGGGCTACGCTCAAGTTAGGTCAGTACGTTTGTGAAGATATTATCCTTCTTCATATATTTGAGAAGATGATCTAGATGAAAATCGAAGCTTATAAATTTATTGATACCACAAATTTCTAGCTCCTTCTTCTCAAATATATGAGGAAGGATCATATCTTCACAATCGAACTGACCTAACTTGAGTGTAGCCCCGTTGAATTTTCTATCAAATGCTGTTTCTATCAAGTGTATTTTCTATCAAATATATTTCCGATCAATTGTATTTTTTATCATTCATGGTTATATCAAATGTATTTTCTATCATGAAACATTCGATCAAATCTATTTTCGGTGAAAAGTTATTTCTATTTTTTGATTTTTGATCAAAAGACTTCTATCAAATGTTTTTCTATCATTTGTCTTTCGATCAAATTTCCGCCACCCACCAAAATGGTATATGAAGGGTATTGCCAAAAAAGTTTGTTTTTTGAAAACACCATGAGTTAACGGGTTTTTTAAAAAGGGGTTCCCCGTGCCCTTATGAAAGCGCTACTTAAAGGAAAATATCAATAATAAACGGACGGACTTGATATTTGACCTATATTCTTAAAAAAAAATAGTAGGCCGATTTCAATTTTTTTTTATTTGTTGGTAGGTAATGCATTTGTCTTGAAAAAAATAAAGAGGTGGACATTTTTTCAAAGCCTGCTTGATGGTGTTGGTGCGAGCATTTTGTTTTTTTATTCATTGATTTATCTCTGAAATTTTCCGAATTACAGTTTTTTTTGCTGAATCCTTGCAGATTACCAACTTTCTGAATTTATCGAGAAACAATTTTCTGATGAAATGAACTGATACCTATAATTTTGAAAAACATTTTCATCAAACACAAAATTATAAATTGGGATTACTGCTTGATACCGTGTATTGCCTCCTCTAGCAACTATAAGAACTTCTAATCTACGAGGCATAAATTAAGTTGCTTATCGTTTCCATTGGTAGGGTAAAGTAAGGTTATCTCGTGATATTCTGATGAAACTGTAGATTTTTCCATGAAAAATCAAAGGAAATCAATATTCGAACTCCGGTAGTAAACTTACAATACTTAGGCAACATATTCATGAAAAATTACATTGATTATCAAAAATCCTGAATTTTTGGATGGATTTTTGTTGATGCGGAAAAATGAGGCAATGTTGTGATAGGACATATAATGTCGTGATATGGGTAATTTAATGTCGTGATAAAATGCAAATGCGTACATTTCATTACAATTCAACATGACACTCATTTATAATTACAATCACTGGTGCCTGTTATCTTCTAGGTCTTCGCAGGTATTGCACATGTACACATCTTCATCATCTTGGAAGTCAGTTTGACAGGTTGTATGGTATGGAGTGAGACAGAAGGAACATTGTACCCAATTGGCGCCAGTTTTCCGTTTGACATCAAAAGAAAACTTCACCTCACATTTTCCGCAAGTCCAATCTTCGTCTTCTTCATCATTGGTCCTAGAGGAGCTGGGAGCTTCAATTGTAGTTGATGTGGAAGCAACTGGACCATCTGAGTCTGTATCCGCATCGAAAGTTGTTAGCAAGCGGGCCCGAGAGTCCCCCTTTCTCTTGCGTGTTGATATTTCTCTTCTCTGCACATTAGGCACTTTCAGAATCTCGTCCTCCGTCAGGGAAGGTGTAGAGCTAGAAGTTGTTTTGACAGGAGTAGATGCTTCTGACGTTGATAACAGTTGTATTTGCGGATCAGGAGCTGGCTGGTCTGTTAACATCGATGGTTTCAAAGCTTCTGGTGGAATTGCATTCCGATTGAAGGGATAGGCTCCAGATTTCTTGAATGCATTAATAATATTCATTGGTGTCATGCTTGCTATGAAAGGTTCGCTGAAAATCTCATGAAAGTTGTAACGGCTGGGTTTTTCAAGTGGATGAGCAAGCATGTAATTATTCAGAGCTTTACCCCAATGACTTTTCAGACCCACTGAGCAAGAAACATCCTTAGGAGGTTCATTAACGTTAAAATATTGTATCCCCGGCGACGTTTCTGCGAACACAGCACTTGTACGTCATAATAACATAACTATGTGACATTGTTACTTTTAACGAACCTTCTATATCATAAGTTAAACTTTGCTACTTTATATTAACGTCACTAATGTGATTGTTATGTTGGTGGACATATAACGACTTTAAGACGGTCTTTGAGATGTCGATAGGCCTTCGACCAAACGTTACTAGTATGTTTTTTTGCACAGTGGGGAGGCTTGTAAACACCTACATCTAATGGCTGCAATAGATGTGAGGTGTGCGCAGGAAAAGTAAACAAAAAAATTTGGTTGTCCTTTGCTAATTGAATTATTCCTGGATTTATATGGGAACTGTGGGAATCCATCAATAAAACAACAGGTCTGCAAGAAGGGATAGAAGCTATAAAGAATTCGAACCATTCTTTGAACAACTGTTCGTTTATCCATCCTTTTGAAGATAGCCTAGTTTTGGCATTGGGTAGAGCATTCTTTGCTAAATCATCATTCCACCGAACTCCTTTGAATATGACAAATGGGGGAATGAAGGTGCCATTTGCGCAGACACAGCCAATCACAGTGTGAGTATCTCCTCGTTCAGCGTAAGTTCTCTTATAAATGAATCTCTTACCAACCTGGCTGACAATTTTTCCACTCTTAACAACAAATGTTAGGCCAGTCTCATCAACATTCCATATTCTATCAGGCTTGTCCATGATATCTAGTTTTGTTAAGAGGTCTTCCAGTTTAGAATAATAATCGTCAATCATCGTTGGGTTGGCCATAGATGCTCTATAAGCTGAAAGATTTTCTGGAGTACGAAGTGATAAGTTATATCGCTCTTTGAACTTGGACCACCACCATTTGCTCGCTATTTGCTTCTCTGTATTGAAGAATTTTTCGCGGTTTATTGTTTTCGCTAGATCATATGCCAGTTTACGCACTTTCAGAACAGTCAGCCCAAATCCCAACTCTTGCATGGTGTTGATATAATTATAAATTTTCAATTCCAATTCCGGAGGCAGAGTGAATGGTCTTCCCAATTTTGGCAAAGTGGAATGCTCAATATCAGCATTGCCTGCAAGGAAGTCTTTCAGCGTCGACCAAGGTACACCAGTGTCTTTAGCTGCCCGATATAGACTAAAATTTTGATTCCGCACAAGCCGAGCTGCTTGAACTAAGCTGGCATGTTCATATTGTCTTTCTTTGCCTTTTTGGACTTTCTTCTTCTTATGAGTCATATTTCTACAAAAGAAAAGATACACAGTGAATGAAACCTATTGAACCAGCTTTGTTTACTTTTTTCCATTTCAAAATAGGTAGGTAATGTCGTGATAGAAAAAAACAAAGATTCAGACCTCAAAATACTGAAGATATTATTCATACAAGTCTAAAGTGGCGTGATATTACAATAAACTACTCTATTATTGATTTAGAAAAAAAATATATTTTTTTTATCAGCAGTTGAATAGAATGCAGAAAATAATGGAGTCACACCCTAAGAATCTTGCTACGTTCGCTAAGGGTTTATAAACACCCCATAAATGGAATCAACAAAATTTAAAAGCTGAGCATCAACTACAATTCATAATCTTCAAAATGTGATATCACACATTGATCAAAATTGATATTTACCTTAATTACAACCACAAACGACACGAACGGCAATCGTAAAATGCAACGCACTCTGTGAGCAATGGAATTTGTTGTTTATTCTGAAGAGTGAGGCTGCAACCCGGAGTACAAGCATCTAAGTTGGTCAGCCAGCTGGAGTACAAGTTCCGCCATCTCTAGGACCATCGAGCAGGTAAATTTGAAGACAGGCAATGTCCTCAGAAATATTTCAAGAACTATCACGACATTGCCTATGTCACGAGATTACCTTACTTTACCCTATACGATCCCATTCTTCCACTAATGCATCTGCCATTTCTACGAGACATTCCGGAGACCTCTCGCGAGAACGTACCCTTCTCCCTAATTCATCCCACAAATGTTCTATAGGATTCATATTGTAATGTGGTAATACTAGTAGCTTCTAAGAAGTTTCGCACTATTGCTGCGGTGTGTGGTCGGGCATTATCCTGCATCAATATAAAATTATTGCTCACTAACTCTGCATAAGGTAATACATACTGCTCTAAAATGTCAATGTAAATTTGAGCATTCATCGACTGCCTCACCGGAAAAACATGAAGGGGTGTGTTTCCATCCATTGAAATCCCTCCCCACACCATAACGGACCCACCATTAAAACTTTCGCATTAAATTTGGATTAAACCGTTCACCAGTTCTTCTCCACACTCTTTTTCTTCCATCCACCATGTTAAGGCAAAACCTTGACTCATCCCTAAACAAAACATTCGACCATTCAGGAATATTCCACTGTCCATAATTTTCAAAAAAATTTCTTCTAGCAGCACGATATTCGGGCAATAATTTGGGACCTTCTGCAGGTCTCCTGGCTTCTAAATTAACTTCTTTTAGTCTACATACCGTCTGTTTACTTATTGCAACATCACGAATTTGGCGAAGATCTTACTGAACATTTACCGCAGTATTTGATCGATTCCGTAAAATCTGCAATCTCCAGAAGCGATCATCTCTTGGAGAATTTTTCGGGGGCGACCGGAACTGACCCTCCTAGCGGTGCTTCCTGTATATTCGTACTTGCGGATTGCTCTACGAGCAGTTGCTTCATGAACTCCCGCTGCACGAGCGACGTAACGTTTACTACGCCCATCGTTTACTAACGCAACTAATCTTGCTACTTGTTCAGGATTCATTAGAGGCATTTTATGTAATTTCAGTCAATAAAACAAGACACTTACTTAATGACACGACGACAAATGGTCAAATATGGAGGCATACAACAAATTAGTTGCTATGGCAACGGCATTTGGTTTTTTAAAGACAATGTGATCCTACCAGAGTACAACCCAATCAATTTTGAGTACTCTGATCCTTCAATAAATTTAATTCGTGGGATAAGCGTAGGGTATCACCAAAAAAGCTGTAATTTGGAAAATTTTAGAGATAAATCAATGAATAAAAAAACAAAATGCTCGCAAAAGAAGACTCTTTCGTATAGGATGTAAGCACTTTGTATACCATTACTCAATTAACACACAGGGTGAGTCAAAAATTAAGAATAAATCATGGTTCGAGTCATTCCACCACCATCAAGGAGGCTTTGAAAAAAATTTCACCTCTTTATTTTTTTTTGAAGACGAATGCATTACCTACTAATAAATTTAAAAAAAATCTACTATTGTTTTTTTTTAAGAAGATAGGTCAAATATCAAGTGCGTCACTTTTTTTGGAACTGAGTGTATAATGTAGGTAACAACATATGATACCTGCTTACACCCGGCTGCGAAGAGGTTGCTGCCAATTGCGCAACAGCAACCATCACTTTTAAAGTTCTTTAGATACCTACATAGCTGTGAGGTGGAATGTATCTTATTCAAAAAACAAATGAATGAATTTTTTTGCAGAAAATCGATTATTATTATTTCAATTGAAACTACTTGCGGCCACATTTCGAGAGGCAACCCAGTATAAACATATTCTCCTATTCATGAATATTTGTTTGAATTTGATTTCCATCGAATAACAGATGAAAAGTAGTAAACTTGCGGTCGGATCTTAGACCATAATAAAGTCACCTTATTGTTTGTACGCAATTTCGTCTTTTTCGAGCTGTCAAATTACTTGTATATCAGTAAATGATATAATAAATTAGGGCAACGACTTTTTGGGTTGTGACATCAACAATACGAAATACTTGCGTTGCAGTTAATGAAGTAGGAAATCTGATTAATCAACTGTACAGGAAGCTATTTCATTATTACCTCCGTTCAGGAGAATGCAAGCAAATCAATGGTTTTTTTTTTCGTTATCTACTCCTCCTATGATTTTAATATAATCAATGAGGATATGTTCATCTATAATTTTGATTTATCGATAGGCATATCATTTTTTTACATTGTCCTGGTGTTTTGTATTCCCCTTCCTGAGAGATAAGTCTTTTTGTTTCACATGTATTATACCTACTTACCACAAATACAAGGTATAGGTCCTGTGAATACAATATGATTTGATGATTGTTCTCCATTCTTTCGGTCTGTTTGAGTCAAAATTGATTCTATCGTTTTTTCAAGTGAGCCGGGAATATATGGTATATATTTGTTGTTATTGATGGTTGTTATTGTTGTGGTGTATTTTGTTTGGTTCAATTTAGTCGATCGTTCTATCAATGTATATCGTAAAATACTCATGTAATTAGTACCTACCCCAATTCTCAATAAAATCATCAGAGAAGACAATCAAAAAAAGGAATAATCAAATCATTTCATGATTAAGCCAAATCGATGATATCATCTGCCCAAAAGATGTTCAATAACGAAATTCACCACAATAAAAACGTTCTTTACGGTTTGTCATATAGGTATAGTATAATATAGAATCTATACCTATTCGAAAACTTCTGGAAGGTTACTGAAAATGTTGGACTATTTATCATTTCGACGAATTCCTCTAAATCCAGCTTTTCGTCCATGTTTTTGTCATATTTTTCGTAAATCGTTCTCATCACTTCATCGGGGAGCTCAAATTCTTCATGTATTTCGATGAAGGTCTTCAGTTCGTTTATACTTATGATTCCATCTCTGTTCGAATCGCACTGGAATATGATAATAAAAATCAATTATCAATCAACATAAAAGGTGATACGATTCATGCTCAAGAAACGAGACATTTAAATCCATTGATAGCAAATAATGAAAAGTCATATAGTTTGTATTGAGAAAACCCAATCACGAATCTACGATTAGATAGAGGTCTATGAAATAACAAGATACCATATCGTCGATTGGGTATATGAAAATATTGAAAAGGAATCTTCTCAGATATATTATAAACATGAAAAAATGGATATATATATAAATATATATATTCAAAGAAATACATTGAGAATTCGCATTCTGTATGTGATTGATGAAATTAATGATCCTCTGTCGTCCCTCTCTAACCCATAAATTTTTATGGAAAATGCCATGAATATGAATTTTTCAAATGAGTGTGATACACCGTTGGTTTAAGGTGATCAAAAATTCTTCTTAAAATCCATAATAAAAAATCCAGGGGCGTATTTAAAAAATAAAGTTCATGATGGGAGCTCAAAGACGAAACGTCAGTAATAATGGGAATATACAGGGTGTCCGCTAAAAGGAGGTCAATCCATTAACCATATATTCCTTGAACAAAAAAATATGAGTTTCTAAATACCATTTTCCATTTTAGCCCTTCATATTCGATATACAGACTGTCAAAGTTGGAAATTATAAACTGTTTTTTTTTCTAATTACTCGCGTATTTGATGAGACATCATTCTCAAAATTGGTACATTACTTCAGCACAAAGAGTTACATCGTGTGAGGAAAACAAAACAGAAAATAACTATCAAATATTCGAAATACAGGGGGTCAAGTACACACTTACCCCCATATTTTTTTTGTACGTGCGCATCTATCCTATCTAATTTTCTTCAAGTGTTCAATCATTTCTGAGTATTTTTTTTTGTGTCTTGTAAAATTTCGATAAAATCATTTGTTCTTCAGATAATTCGAAAAGTACTGGTTATCTCTTGATGCTTATGCGGCTTACGGTAATCTCATAATGTTCACATACTCCCATTTACTCGAAATTGGAAGAGGGCGTAACTTTTTACGTACGAAAAGGTGAATATGGAAATACCGGGTGTTCAGAGCGAATGTATTAAAATAATTTTTACGAAAAACAATTGATAAAAATTCAAAACGTCTAAATGAATTGCTCGATATGAATTTTTTGAGTACACATGCGAGTCCTTTCAATTATAAAAAATCTTAGCCTTTGAAAAATATGTGGCTTATGCACAAAATCTTTCATACATCCATAGACAATCCTGATCTGCAATTTCTCTCATCAAGTAGCTATTAAAATCATGAATATCATAATTTCACCAAAAATGTCCGAAAATATATTTTTTTAATTTTTTCCGATTTTATATCCCGTTCGTTCGCACCCGACATACCATACGGTGTGGAAGAGGCTCGATAATATTTTTAAGAAATTCCGCACCACCCAAAACCGCTCAAATAGATTTTAAAAATTTGCTGTTCTCGAAAAAAAAACGATTTAATAATCCTTTAGGAGGGTGGGCTCGTTAATCGACCCCCCCCCCCATCCTCCTAAAATCTTTATTCACTCGAAATTCCAAAAAACTTTTTTTTCATTTGACCCCGTAAAAAAATTTCACGCCGTTCAATTGGCAAAAAAAATTTATTCGACACGTGTCCTCACTGTTTTTCATTTTGTTGTAAAAATAATTTTGATACATTCGCTCTGAACATCCGGTATTTCAATATTCACCTATTCGTACGTCAAAAAAAAAGATCTCTTCCAATTTCGACGAAATAAATAGGAGTATGTGAACATTATGAGATTAACGTAGCTGCAAAGGCATCAAACAATAACCAGTACTTTTCGAATTATCTTATAAACAAATAGTTTTATCGAAATTTTACAAGAGACAAAAAATACTCAAAAATGATTGAACACTTGAAGAAAAATAGAAAGGAAGTCATTAGCGCACGTACAACAAAAATATGGGGGTAAGTGTATACTTGACCCCCAGTATTTTGAATATTTGACAGTTATTTTCTGTTTTGTTTCCCTCACACGATGTAACTCTTTGTGCTGCAGTAATGTACCAATTTTGAGATTGATATCTTATTAAATACGCAAGTAATTAGAAAAAAAACAGATTTTAATTTCCAACTTTGACACCCTGTATATCGAATATGAAGGGCTAAAATGGAAAATGGTATTTAGAAACTCATATTGTTTTTGTTCAAGGAATATATGGATAATGGATTGACCTCCTTTTAGCGGACACCCTGTATAATTTGTTCACTCACGTGGAAAGAAATTATGTATTGAGAAAACCCAATCACGAATCTACGATTAGAGGTCCATTAAATAACAAGATTCCATCGTTTGAACCCTTTGATTGGGTATGGAAGTATTGAAAAGAAATCTTCCCAGATATATTATAAACATGAAAAAATGTATATATACAGGGTGTCATTGAAATAAGTGCAAATATTGCAAACACTGAGAGAGCTCGACTTGTACTATCGAATGGCACTACTAATAAAAAATAATTAGGGATCAAAATAAATTTTGAGGTTACACCCCTTTTTCCACCCAAAGTTACACTGTAGCAAATCTGACGTCACTTTTGTTCAAATTTCCATGCGGTAGGCAGAATCACGCGAAGTTCAATCATTTAATTTGTTTTAAAATGGCGTACTTGATTTTTTTCTCGTATTTTGTTCAACTTTTGGGATGAAATTTCTCGTTAATTAGAAAAATTAGAAAAAATCTGATATTATGGGAATATTCCTTAGACTGTATCATATTAATGTGCTGAATATGTGCACTCATTTCGAAAACACCTTGTATACAGGGTGTTCCAAAAAAACCTAACCCCCTTGCTAGGGTAGGTAGAACATTGCAAAATAAGTTGGGTTTGCTCAGTTAAAAAATGTCGTAACGCCATCCCTTTTCAAGATACAAGGTGTTGAAACAATATTTTTTTTACACATTTTTTACGATTATGTTGAAACTACTGGCAACATTGTGATGACATTTTGTATGGATGTTTCTTGGAATCTGACACATCGCATGCATTTGTTTTTATATCTGACTCTCATAGAGAGCGCTAGTTACACGGTTCGTACCGGGTAGTTTTGAAAATAACTTTTTTGATTTTTCAATCCAAATCTGATATGATCTTGTACATCATTCAATTTCACATAAAAAAGGTAATCTTGGTAGAACTCGATACTGTGTTCCGTTTTCGGAATATTTCGATTTGAAAATCATGAAGTGATAACTGTTGCTAGTATAAAGCTATGTTATTAGAGTGAGTATTATGAAAAATTATCACCTATTTATTGAGAACCAAAAACAACAACACATTTCTGATGCAAAACTCATTGATTTTACAATGAATCACATGAATAACATCGAAACAGATTTGACTAAGAACATGGATTACAGGGTCTTTTGTTGATCTGAGGATTACACAGTTTTGTTGTATCTTGAGCAGAAAGTCTATGCTACATAGGTAAATTCACGTCAAGAGTTGTGAGACATAATTGAACATCACTCAAATGACCTACCAGCTGATCCTCAACTGTTCAGAAGAAAAATACATTCTTAAAAAAAGAATATAGAATCGTGTATTCCTCGAAACGTAGGACATTTTGAACAATCACTCTAACTGATTCAATATTTCATGTCTCTAGTCAAATATCTCTCAATTTACTACTTATGGTTCTTTGTTCCATCAATAACTTCAGCACAAGAATAATTATATTGCTTTTGAACCTGAATAAATAGGTAATCGAACTCAATAAAATTCATTTTATACCAACATCATTACTACTCCATTATTTTCAAATCGAAATATTCCGAAAACGGAACATAGTGTCGAGTTTCACCAAGAGTACCTTTTTGGTGTAAAATTGAATGATGTTCAAGTTCATGTCATATTTGGATTGTAAAATCTAACCTCAAAAAAGTTATGTTCAAAACTACTCGGTACGAACCGTGTAACTAGCGTCCTCTATGAGAGTCAGATATAAAAACGAATTCATGCGATGTGCCAGATTTCAAGAAACATCCATACAAAATTTCATCACAATATGCTGCCAGTAGTTTTGGAATAATCGTGAAAAATGTGTAAAAAAATAATGTTTTCAACACCTTGTATCATGAAAACGGATGCCGTTACGACATTTCCTCAGAGAGCAAACCCAACTTATATTGCAATGTTCTACCTACCCTAGCAAGGAGGTTAGGTTTTTTGAAACACCCTGTATATAAAGAAATACATTGAGAATTCGCATTCTCTATGTGATGATTCAACAGAAAACAACAACTTTGCTGGCTATATGCTATATCCCACGAGTTGTTCGATCTTGAATTCGATATTGCGCCGTCACACCCATTGAGCAAAAGGATACTTCGAATGCTTTGTGATCGTTCGAAGTAACCCTATCATTTTCGGTATCGTTGAATTCGTTATGATAATCCCTAACTGATTATGGGATAAAATACAGAGTGTCTTATAAAGTTGGGGTCATTCAAACCCTAAGTACGGAAAAGTATGTATACATATGTCAAAAAATGTCAATTGAACTGTGATTAACAACCCTCAAATTCAGTTTCACTAACTTCAAAAATAAAAAAGTTATAGGGGTGAGCCACCTTTGAAAATCACTTGGTATTTGATCCAATGGAATTGTATATCTATTATTTATTTTTTCTGAAAGAATACAATGGTGTATACTACTTACTTTTGCGCAAAATTAGTTGAAAAAATGCATGCTCCGTCGTCAAGCAATGGATTATTCATTACTTTCTCCAGTTTGTAGTTTTCTAATATAGTCATTTGTTTTCAATTAATCATTTTCTCAACATTATAATGTCTTTTTTTCATGAGAAACGGATTCAATAAAATTTTTTATGAAAAGATCAATTTTCTATTGTCGACGGACTATATACATTTTTTTTAACTAATTTTGCACGAAAGTCTATACTGTATTCAGAAGAAAAATCTAAATCAGAGAATATATACAGGGTGACATTTCGAAAACTTTCCACCCTCAATATCTTTCTTGCAGTGAATACTATGAGAAATCAAAAAAACAGGTCGATTTTATTTTCAAGGGGGCTTGAAATGATTTAGTGGTTTCCGCGAGAGTCTCGTTTTCGAGAGTCTCGCATGATCTCGTCTCGTTTTCGAGACAAGGCTCGAGACGAGACTCGGACAAGACGAGACGAGACTTTCATTGGTCTCGTCTCGAGCCTCGTGCAAGACTTCTCGTGTCTCGTGCGAGAGTCTCGCAGGTAAATATTTCTGCGTGCCTACTGCAAACTTGAGAATTTCATACATAATACAACATATTTGGATATAATTGGGACTATTTAGCACAGATAGACAAAACATTTCATTCATGAATACTTTAAAAACGCAATCCATGATTGTTGTAAAACGACGTAATGCGTGAAACGAAAACGGACTATTCTCTCTCACAATTTGATATTCGTTCATTAGTTGTCTGTCAAATTGCATATTATTGAGATACATGAAGTTGGCTGTGGCCCGAATACAATGAAATTTCGATGCTTGATAGGCTTAGAAATCCAAAGATCATTACTTAGACGATATTATCAGAATATTATTCATAATAGCTATGGATGAATTGATGGCAAGAACTAGGAGAAGAACAAAACAGGTTCAGACAATAATAGGATATCACAGACTACAGTCCGTTAAAATAGAAGTTTTAATGTATGCAGACGATATTGTTGATATTGTATTGATAGCTGATACTGTAGAAAAAATGCAAGGACTAATATTAATATATGGACAGAACAAATAGGACGATAGAAAATAGAAATCAATACCGAAAAGAGTAAGATAATTATAATAAATAAGAAAGATATTATACCAACCCAAGTATATTATGCAAAGAAACAGAATTGAAAGTAGTAACAACATTTCGATACCTAGGAAGTATTATCACGGACGATAGAAAAATAGAACTGAAATCAGCCAATAGAGCAAGGAAATCAAACAAGATATATTATTCATTGAATACGATACTAGAAAAAGAGAAGGAACTGATGAACATCCAAAAGGAGAAGATGAAAAATTAAAAATAAATCTTCCGAAATTGAGAATTGACATTCTTTCTCAAATCGGATGGATAATATGATGTATAATGATATAGAGATATAACTTACCAATATATTCAGCATTGAAATGAAAATTGGAATGTATAGGAGAAGTATACCGGCATAAACTCTGATCTTGATGAGCTTGAAAACTTCCAAAAATAATCATTTATATCAGTGATATGGGAAATATTATCTCTCACAAACAGGTTATATGACTTTATTGCAATGAAACCATTTCGGATTCCTAATTCCTCATCAGTAACCATGATGTCACTTATTCTTACAGTCATTCTTCATGATATACACAATTTTCATCTCTCTATGATACAACTTAAATCGAGTAAAACTATAAGATGACATCTGAGAAAATTGTGTATATCTATTGGATAAACTGAAAAAGAGTTATTCTCATCACATAGAGAATGCGAATTCTCAATGTATTGCTTTATATAAATATATATCCATTTTTGTATATTCATAATTTATCTGAGAATATTCCTTTGCAACACTTTCACACCCAATCAGGGGGTTCAAACTTGAACGATGGAAACTTGTGATATTTATAAACCTCTAATCGCATATTCGTGATAGAGTCTCAATTCAGAATTTCTTTCCACGCCCTGTATGATGAATGTCAATTTATCATACACCCAAAAACAGAAAATAGTGTATTATACACGGGAAAAATATTAGATTTCAGCTCATGGTTTTTTGTTTCCCTCCGCTACGTGTCGGAAGACAACATACAACCTCGAGCTAACATCTACTACTTTTTTCCCTTGTACAATGAATAACTATTTTTAAAGTAAAACTTCACACCCAAATCGAATTTCGAAATGAATCATTATTGAAAGTTTTTCCCATATTATGCCGACTTATAATGAATGACACTAATGTATGTCGAACTCTCGAAGGAAAAATCCTTGGAAAAATCTAAGTTTTGAGATATGTCAAAACTTTCAGATGAAGAATGGAATTTTTATCGACTGAAAAAACAAAAAATCTGTGGCACTTCAGCATTATAATGAATAATCATGTTAGCATTGAGATTCTTATACCTATGTATGTGCCCGATATGCTACATCTAAGGTGATTAGTTTACCAAACAATCTTATGTTCTTAAAATACATCAATGAAAACACATTTCAAACTTATTATTAATGAGGTAATTACTCACGCAGAGGAATATGCTTCCATAGTAATCCTTTAGTTCTTCGTCATTCAAAATATGCGGGTTTTTTTGACTGACTCTTGCAAATTCGGTGGCCTCCATTTTCCAGTCTCGAGAAGATGGCACTTCACCTTATTAACTAAATCAAAATCTAACTAGGTATGATAATTATTACTCATTCGACGACATTATTGTTATAATGTAATGAAATGTTATCTTCGCATTTACCCAACATCCGCATATTTTACGTATATTATTGCGGCATAATATGTTGTGGTCATACTGGTCGTATACTGGTTCGTATCATAGTTCTTTCATATTTTAATATTATGATTTGAAGGTTATATCATCATACTCGACTACCGATACTGTCTGACCGTCTGAATCAGGTTTCTTTTGAACTTGAAGAAAGAATATAATCAGTTCCTGTAGATTGATGAATTAATCAATTCAAATGAGAAAATTGTAACTGTTGAAGTTGTGTGATTATCAATTGATGAATAGCTAACTGAAATATATACCCAGGTATAATTGGAGTGTATTTAATCTAAGGTATTTAGATCTATGATAATAATATACAGAGAGTACTTATATCAGAAAATGAGTTATTATTGGTATACTTTATGCAAAGTCAGTTGAAAGTGTTGAAAAGTTCATCGAAGAAATGTAGATCTCTTTGAACTTTCAAAGATACCGATGGCCCGCGGTGATGTGTTGTTCCCAGCGAAGAGACTGTCTTTTCGCTGTTGTTCCAACTCGACTGACTTTGCATTAACTAAAGTAACTAAACTACGCAACACTAATTTCGTCGCACTCCAAAATTTTGACCCTGTTAAAATATGAATAACTTTTTTCTGCTTTGAACCATTTTAATTTGGATCACACTGTTCGCTAGTCTCTAGTACTTCAGCTATAATCTCGTACTTCTTTAAAACATGAGGTTATTCCTATAAAATTACACCTGAAACTGTGAAAAATTTCGTAATTTTCGTCATAGTGTGTATATATTCAGCATATATACCGCTCCTGCGGGATCCTAACTCAACAATTACGACAGATACAGAATTGCTTCCATTTGAAGTGAGACATACTGTATAATGTTCATCTTGATGTATATTGATCTTCATATCTTTTCATATTAAGTTTCAGCTCCAAAATGAGCCTTAGGTTCTAAAAATCGGTTGATGAGAAAAAAAGTTATGACTGCAAAACCAAAAAGTTGATTTTTTGAGTTCACTCTGTGAATAAACGAGATGGGAAGACAATTTGAATAATGTCTCAAGCTCAAGACTATGGTCTCAAGGTAATAAGATCATCTTCATGCCCATGCTGTCAAAGTTGGAAAAAAAAATGTTTTGTTCATTTGGGATCTCGAAATTGTTCACTGTTCCAGGTGACACCCTGTAGCGAGTTTATATGAAGAACCTCATGTTTTGAAGAAGTACGAGATTATAGCTGAAGGACTCGGCTAGCGAACAGTGTGATCCGAATTCAAATTGTTAAAAGCAGAAAAAAGTTGTTAATTTTTTAACAGGAGCAAAATTTTGGGGTGCGACGAAATTATTGTTGCGTAGTTTATTAGACCAGTGCTGATGAAGCCTTTGAAATCGGTAAAACTATGGTAGGATGAAACCCATTGGAAATAAATTGAAAGTAAAAAAACTTTTCAATAAAAAGCTTTTATTTAAACCGATTTAAACGCTCTAAAAAGAAGAAAATAAAATTGTTCTTAATAATTTTAACTATCAACTTATAACCTCATAATACACAATTTATATGATCATAATTGTTTGTCGCGCGATTCACTTGAATGAACTAGTACTCATTTAATTATGTGAAATCTGCTCAGATGAAATTTTTGAAATTACAATTTAATTAAATATTGATCATCAAAATTTTATTTTCTTCTTTTTAGAGCGTTTGAATAACAGTTTTTCATTAAATAGGTTTTTTTACTTTTGATTTATTTTTTAAATTTTAGTTATCGCTAGCTGGATTTTTCGATTTACTCTCAACGAGCCTTTTCATTTGATACCCATATTGTAGAAGTATATTGAAAATGACCATTCCGCCATCTTGGATGGTCCGCCATAATGGATTTAGAATGACGTCACATCATTTTTCGAGTTACTCTCAACGAGCCTTTTTATTTGATACCCATATTGTAGAAGTATATTAAAAATAGCTATTCCGCCATCTTGGATGGTCCGCCATATGGGATTTAAAATAACGTCACATTATGTTTCGAATTACTCTCAACGAGCCCTTTCATTTGATACCCATATTATAAAAGTATATCAAAAATAGCTATTCCGCCATCTTGGATGGTCCGCCATATTGGATTTAGAATAACGTCACATTATTTTTCGAATTACTCTCAACGAGCCCTTTCATTTGATACCCATATTGTTGTAGAAGTATATCAAAAATAGCTATTCCGCCATCTTGGATGGTCCGCCATATTGGATTTAGAATAACGTCACATTATTTTTCGAATAACTCTCAACGAGCCCTTTCATTTGATACCCATATTGTAGAAGTAGATTAAAAATGACCATTTCGCCATCTTGGATGGTCCGCCATATTCGATTTAGAATGACTTCACATCATTTTGCGAGTTACTCTCAACGAGCCTTTTCATTTGATACCCATATTGTTAAAGTATATCAAAAATAGCTATTCCGCCATCTTCGATAGTCCGCCATATTGGATTTAGAATAACGTTACAGCTTATCGTGCATGACAGGAGTTTTCGAAAGAAATAACGGTTTATCTCATTTTCCGGCAAAACTACAAGCCCTATGGAAGAGTTTAATGCCAGTTTAAATTATAGCTAATAAAAAGATCTCCAACATTTATATTCACACTTTCTTCACATAACCTCAAAAGTTTTTTGAAGTTTTATTTTTATCGTTGAATATTTCTCATGAAATTAATTTGCTGAAAACCCACCTCTTCGATCATGTCCCAAAACTGTAATTTTTTCAATTTGAACTATTAATTTTTTTCACTTTATTTTCAATGGAGAAGGTCTCGCGTCAAGATATGTGCTTTTTCAAACAAGTCGATGGGCTTTTTGTTCGTTGAAATCTCTACTTTCTGATGGTATCAAAAAATATATACATTACCATTGAAAATGTTCTCAGAAGATACAAAGTAACGAGAAAGCAGCAGTCACATATTTTTGATGAAATCCCCTTCATTATTCAGAACAACAAATTATCGCATGGTTTTAGCAATCTCAATGGATTTGAAATTTTGTTGTTCATCAATGTAACATGGAATCTTACATTTCTCGAGTAATTAGTGTTAATCTCAATCAATAGCTCGAAATTGTACATCATGATTTAAAAACAAGTCGGATTCTAGTTTCGTTTCTTTGCTTCCTGAGAACATTAACCCTATACTGTTGTATTTATTTTATGCCAGCAGAAAGTAGATATTCCAATGACTAAAAAGCTCACCAACTTTTTTGAAAAGCAGATATTTTAACACGAGAATTTTCGATTGAAAATTAGGGTACGTGCTTTTTCGTTATTATATCAGAATGAGGTGAAAAAAAAATATTTCAAAGCGAAAAAAATACAGTGTATTTGAGACATGAAGAGGTTAGTTTTCACCAAATTGCGTGGGAAAAATGTATCTTGTTGTGAAAGATTGAAATACGAAACCAAAATCTTGGTTATTTCAATGTTCCATATAAATTTTGGGGCTATGTAAAAAAATATCTATAAGAGTTTTAGATCTTCTTATTATACCTTCAATTTTTTTAATTCAACTTTTTGCATAGGACTTGTAGTTTCTCCAGAAATCGAGATTAACTGTTTTTCATCCTTATAAGCTCTCCCCATTCCACTTTCTATCGACCGTAATTAATTTTTCCTCACATTTTTGTTTTATTCTCTTTGTAGAAGATTCATCGTCCAGTATATACAGTCTGTCCAAGATTAGGTTGCACAGCATGCGGATCTCGAAAACGGTAGGAGATACGAAGTCGGTTGAATGAGGAAAAAGTTGCGTATTCGGAGGCCCATATCAACAGTCTTCGAAATTTTTCAAAATTGTTTTTAGTAAATGTACCACCTCCTCGATTAACCTACAGACATTGTTTTTAGTTTTTGAGTTATATCGAAAAAAGTGAATTTTTGGAATATCTTTTTTATTTTTTTCCTCCTTTATTATTAGAGATACAGAAAAACTGAACATACTTTTCCATACACTACACTGTTTTACCACTAACCAAACCGATTTTATAACGCCTCGACACGTGTTTCGCTAACTATGTTAGTAACTACAGGAGAAAATTAAAAGTTTTAAAATGTCTTACTTCACGACACCAGTTGCATAAAGTGAAATATTACATAACTGGTGATGAAATGTTCATTTCAATGGATGGACGAAGAGAATACTGCGCATTTTGTGCTGCTTCCTCTATATATCACTTGGGAAATCTGAACTTATATCAACCATTTTCCACTAATGCATGAAAATATCAAGTGAGCCTAATTCGTGAATTTCGTCGCAGATTTATGGCAGGATCCTCCGAACAAGAATCATTGTTCGACAGATACTTCAACGGACGGACTATCGATTGTCTCTGCTACAATTGCCATCAATTCTGGCATTCGACAAGGATCAGTCTTGTCACCCACATTATTTCTGCTTCATATGAACGATCTATTGGGAGCAACCACTTGCCCTATCCACAAGCCAGGGCCGGATCCGCGGAGCCGTTTCTGGGACCGGAGCCTGTACTAGGTATAGCAAGGAGCCAAACTACGTCAGCCCTTGACGAATGGGCAGACAAGGCACTAGGAGAATACTGGAGGAATATCACAGGTTGCAGGCAGGCCAAGGAGTTCCTGGCCCGTCCGAACAAATCAAGGAGGGACTGGCTGCTTGGTAGAGACCGCTAAGTACTCCGCCTCCTCATAGGAGTACTCACAGGACATAACAGGCTAGGCAGACACCTAACAGGCCAACGCTATCAATGAAGATCTTGTGGAAATTTCAGGAGGATAACAACTCAATTGAATTCAACGCCACCAAAACGCAAGCCTGTATTTTCTCTAGAAAGGCGGAACTCAGTATGATGCCTGATATAACAATGTCTGGTACCACACCATTCCCACCCAGACCACTATATCTATGCTCGGTATTATCATCAGCAATACCCTCTCATGGAAAAAATCATGTTCGATGCATTGCAAAAGATGCTTTTCAAAAACTCGATGTCTTTTTCCGTGCGAAAATCCACTTTTTCTACTAACATAACTAAAATGGCATTTATAACATACCGATATGTACCATACGCTAAGTGATCGATTAATTACGGATTGACGATCTGTGACCTATTCAAAAAATTTAACACGTTACCCATGTCAACACAGTTTTTCGTGATGCGAACTCTCAGAGACCTCGACAGGAGCATTTTTCGTGAATTCCTTGGTTCACTGAAGTTCACTCGTAGTTCGAGTAAATTGACGCAAATCCGACAAAATTTCTCACCACAAGCCTATGTGTGGGAATATCTTGAATAACTCCTAATTGCGAACACTTACAGACCTTGTCAGTAGTAATTGATGCGAATCTCCTGAAGTACTCGCCACAAAGGCTATGTGTGCGAATATCTCGAATAATTTGGTTCTGCGAATACTTGGAGATCGCACCAGTGGCAATTGATGCGAATTTCTCTAAGTTTTCGGAACGAGGTTCTGTATGCGAATTTCCCAAAGAACTCGCCTGAAGGTATTGTATGTGAATTTCTTCGTGAGATATCGCTTAGACCTCGTTGAGAATATCCCGGCGGCGGACATTTGAAGCAAAAATAGTGCTCTCGGCAACCGCTCAAAGAAGTGATGAAAGGCGTCACAAATTCCTGGAAGGAGGTTACCGAGATATCTTTAAGACCTCTTTGTGTTGGCTGGGATCTCAAACTTCCTGCACAATTCCAAATCATGTCAGTGTAACAAAATAATCCTCCGACTTTTTCTCTCCCACTCTTTGTAATTATGCAAAAAGTTATCGAAGTATAACCCGAATATTATGAAGAACGACGACGAGCTTACACTATCTCTATATCTAGAATCAGTCGGGAGAAATCCATGAAAATATGCGTGCTTATATTTTAGAATACGCTCTCTTCATTTGAAATATTTTCAGCAATGCAGTGTTGCCGCTTCTATCAAAAAGTAGCAACAACTTTGTTATTTCAAATGGCATGACCTGTATTTTATTGCATTTTTATCTCCCTCTGGAGAACTAATTTCATCGATACATCACACTTTGGGTCTATCGAAAATGATTACAGAGATAAAGGGTGTTCAAAACCGAGATTTTTCAACTTCAGGATTTTTTTGTGTGGAATAAACTATTCACTATCGGTCAAAACGGCTCGCATGTCCCTATCTCAACTTTTCATTTACTATTTACTGATATTTAATCGGAACAGATACAGGGGGTGAACAGAATTCTGAATCTTGAACCACCCTGTATATGTTCCGATTAAATATCTGTAAATAGTGAATCAAAAGTTGAGATAGGGACATATGTGAGCCGTTTTGACCGATAATGAATAGTTTCAACACAAAAAAATCTCACAGTTGAAAAATCTCGATTTTGAACATCCCTCAAGTCTTTTTCAATAGACCCCAAGTGTCGATTAAATCAACTCTTCAGGGAGAACCTAAAACTGAGATAAGATACAGGGTGTTCCATTCGAAATATCCATGTTGCTACTACTTTCTATTAGAAGCGGCAACAATGCATTGTTGAAAATATTTTAAGTGAAGAGAGCGTATTCTAAAATATGAGAATGCACATTATCATGGATTTCTCTCGACTGCTTCTCGATAGTGTCAGCTCGTCGTTTGATATATCCTGTATAATATTACACTGAAGATACGATGTTTTGAAGAACATATTTTATTGCTATAAAGATCATATAAATAATAAATTAATATCTAACTTTTGAATAAAATATCAAATAATATATCGATATTATGTTAATTTGATTTATCTACTAAAATGAAATAAAACTGTCATAATACCTGAATATTATAGCGAATTCCATTGGTAAACCTGGTGGTGCACTAGTTTTGCACCAGTTTTACACCCACACTACGTTGGTTCTCTCCAAAATGTGAACTGGTGCATTTCCAATGGAATACGAAACATTATAATAAAATTTTATTGTTGGAGGTTAAATCGGATAAATTGGTTTGTCATTGTTTATAACTTGTTCGTATCCTGAAATTCTTTCTTGACTTCAATTAAAAAAAAAGTAGATGTTTTATGGAAATAATTCTTAGTTTTTTTTTTTTCAATAAGAACCTCTTCATCATTATTGAATTTCAGTGCGAAACACTCAACAAAATCATGAATTATGGGAAGTAGTCTTCTTTATTTTCATTAAACCTCCAAATTTTCATCACTACTTGATGATGATGATTAGATTGCCACGCAATTTTGATTTTTAAACTATGCATATTCAATGTTTCCGCCATTTTCAAAACTGCACTGACTTCGCACGACCTAATAGAGCTCGTGCGAGAATTGTTGCACTGAGCTCTGAACTATGTGAACCAGTTTTCCAATGGAATTCAGAACCCGACACCAGTTTCACCAATGGAATACAAAATATGCACTCAGTGCGAGCCAGTTTTACCAATGGAATTCGCTATTAGAAAAATCTAACTGTATCTATATATTATATTTACAAAATGTAAAAAATACAAAATACCCTGATACAAATATTTCGAATACTATGCTTATGCCCTAAAATGTATTTTTGATATCCTAAAAAAACTACCTACATAACAAAATTACATAGCACCATTAAAATATGATCTCGAGGTTTTACTTATACATATAGTCAATGATGTGATCATTAATTATTATAGAGGGGCCAATATACATACGTACCTACTGTACAAAAATCATCTTGATACATTTAAGATTAAAAGTATTGTATATAGATGAAAACTCATCACTTATATTTTTGTTCAACTAACTCACAAATATTAGCTCGATAATGTTGGAAAAGTAGCACATAAAGTTTCTGGAAACTGAAAAATGCGACTGAAAAAAATATTATTTTTTACGGCTATAGCACAAAATTGCCCTTGTTTTGCTGTGTTCGATAAATCAATGAGATATACTTTGTATGTCATCAATTTTAGTTCCGTATCTGTCCGTATCTGACAACACAGAAGCTCATCTCCCAGGAAATGTCAAATTTCAAGCAATGACAGCTTTGTCTAATAGATGAATATCACTTATGAAATCATCTGATGGCTACAAGCCGAAGAAATAAAAAATTCCGCTGTTATCTGATACAGCTGTAGAAAAAGTATAGTGTATAACTCGCATGGAATACTAATTTCCCACTCGTATCATTTGCAGCCTCGTGGGAAATGACTATCATTCCGTGCTCGTTCAACAATATACTAATTCCACTTCTAGCCCTAGAATACACCATTCGACCTGAAAATATGTTTCTCATCACTACTAGTCGATTATATATAAAATTTACACTCTAGTTCTTACCGGAATAATAGAAACTTGGCAAATATCTATCCTTTGAAATGCTCTGAATTTGATTCTCATGTGAAATGTCACTATAAACTGTCTGTGCTATATTTTGATTCCAATAGAAAATATGTATCTCTCAAAATGGCGCCTGGACGCCATTTCGAAAGATTCTTAGAAATGATGTGATCGGGGGTCGAGTGATGCCCCATTTGAAATATCTTTCAATACTCGGGTAATCGACCATATCTCACTTGGTAAGGGTTAGACATTTGGTGCTATTCGTTGGAGTGTCATTTGTCAAATGCATTGTCTTTTGCCAATATCAATTATAATTGGTTCGAAAAAGGAAGGACCCAAGAAGTTCATCCTGCTCTTAATTCTATATAAGGTGCGTTTTGTTGTGCCATAACTCAATCTGGTTCTTGGCATTGTACACGTTTTGTTGTGCATTCAAACCCATTTTCATTCCCATTCGCATTCCTTCTCATGAGAAGGATTGAAAATTGGAATGACAAATAAAAGTGACTTGTGATTATTATTGTGACATGAGAATTGAGTTAAAGAAAAAATTTTCAGGATTTATCGCATACAAGCTATAATAATAATGAATAGAGATTGAAGAGAACCACAGAACGGAGAAATACTAAATATTGAGAGTAAATATATTCAATTCACTAAATAATTTTTTAACATGTTTCTACAGTTCCAAATATTCGCATTGTCTGGCGCTAATCCGTTTTCTTGGGCCCACTCATTCTATCACTTCCGGAATGGCACAACAAAACGCACCTATAGTCATTGATCTGATAGAAATACAATAACTTTGACATTCGACATTTGACATTTGACACATTTGTAGCCAACCTCACAATACCAATTGTTTAACTCTTGAGAATATATTCACTTAAAATCCTTCTGGCTTGCAAGTTGGGCAGGTCAGTGATGTGGAAGTCAGTTCTTGTTAATTTCGTATAAATCTTATCGTTCCTGAAGATCTAACAATTGCAATAGATTTCCAACAAGTAGGTAATGCCCGAATCATCCTCATATATTATTCAAGATCTCGCTTCGCTCAAATTGACTGCTAATATCCTATATCAGAGAGGTCAAGATCATTTCTGCGCATGTCAGAATTTTATAGTCAAGTAGGCGGGAATTTTGAAATCCTAATAGCTACAATAATCATTATTAAAAAATGTAAATGCTGAGCTGAGTACCTACTCCATTCAGGACATCAATTATGGGATAACCACAGTATGTAATAACATTTTGAAATTTCTGCACCGTTTCACTCACAGAGCAGACTGAATTTTGTCATCACGAAAAGCTATACAGGGTGGACAAAAAAATAATCTATGCTGCATATTTTCAACTTGGATATCCTGTATCTCAAAAGTTAGGACGTTTACGACATACGTTCATATAAAGTTTTATTCTTGCAATGAGTCCAAGAATCGCCCCCTTGAATATTAGCTTGTTATTAAGGAACACTCTGTATATGAATGAGAGTTGAAAAATGTGTTGTTTATCGAGACTCGGTTTCTTGACTCGCCCCCCCCCTCTTCTAAGACTTAGCGACCAGCTTCGGCGCCGGTATCCTCGACAGGTTGTTTTCCGGCCGAGAGTCCTTGCGAGGGCTCCGGAAAGACACCCTGTCCGAGGTCCTCGCGAACGGTGAACTCGTCGGCTCCTCGTCCTCGTGGTTGAGGATGCTGAGGCTGCCATACTTCCGCAGCAGCGCTTGCACCTGCAACGGAACCGTGGATATTTCAGGTTATATGGCTGGAAATATTGACACTTCCTGCACTGTATGTGTATTATTGTTTGGTTGAAATACATGATCATGTTCACAGCTATAGACATAAAGATCCACACAGCTACTCCACCAGAAATAACTCCCAGCTCATCAATCCTAGATTTCGTCTCAATATTTCATCAAAGAACTCAATCAATTTGAATTTATATAACAAAGTACCAGAATCTTTCAAAGAGCTCAGCTCCTCAAAATTTAAATTAGCTATCAAACAGCTTCTACTGAAACACAGTTTTTACTCGGTGGATGAATTTCTGTCCTGTGATTTAACAAGAATAACACCATGACATATATATGAAAATACACCCATCTTATACGTACCTAGTATTTTTTAAAATATTTTGAACCATAAATTAGTGTTGTGTAACTATATGTATACTTGTTGCTTTCATTTGTTATGTTCACATATCCTCTATTTTTAATATTTTTCATAACAAGATATTTATATCTACGGACATGTTCCAAACTATTTGACGTGTGTAATGAATGAAATTTTCAAAGAAATTCTGTTCTGTTCTGTTCTTGTTCTATATGTGTTGATTCACCCCTGTACTGGCTGTCCCATTTTCGATGCCCCTACGGGATATCTCGCTTATTTTCAGAGATAGAGATTGGCGGTTTTCGCGAACGTTGGCTACTTTTTTGTGAAACTCACGATGCCGCAAACAAAATTCTCATAACTTGCTTCGTTCTTGAGATACAGGGGAAATTGAGAATGTTGCATTTTGGGACACCCACTGTATCTCAATCATCTTTCAACTTATCGAGAAAATAAAAACTGCTTTTCACACATTTTTTCACGTAGAATTCAGTGGCGTAGTCAGACTTTTGAAATAAGCTATAATTATGCAGATATGCAAAATAATGTTTTTTTTTTAAATTGAACTGGTTGAGTGAAAGAGCAAATTCCTGTCTTCACAGGTAATTTGAACTCTGCCATTTGGCAGGCATTTATTAAGTGTTCAACTTGTATATATCAGCTGATTCAATGTCTGTCCAATAAAAACATTTATTATTATTATTATTATTATTATTATTATTATTATTATTATTATTATTATTATTATTATTAACATAAATTTAAGTTAACATTTCGGAAATCTACGACTCCTCAAGCGAATAAAAACAATTCGAGGAGAGTCCAAATCCCGTTCAATCCCAAGTACACGAAAGGATTTAGGTTTTGAAAGCGTTTATCAGTCTGGGTGAGAATTAGGCAATTGATCAGATAATCCAAAAGATAAGGTGGTCACACTTGAAAAATCAGCAATATACGAAACTAGATGTGATGATTGTGATAAAACATATATAGGCCAAACCAGGCGACCCATGAAAACAAGGTTCTAAGAACACGTAGCACATTCGGAATATACCAAAGAAGGAAAGATTTGTATTCCGTACAAAATAATTTATTCAATATTTGTAACAGAGCGCTTTCGACTGTTAAGTCATCATCAGTGCGTACCTGTAAGTGAGTAATCTGCTTTTAGCTATTCGAAAGAAATTGAAATTGAAAATTCGAAAAAAAAAAATTCTAAAAAATATCTTTAGTGGACGAATTTTTCTGTTAACCTGACGAGTAAGTAACCTCACTTTTATCATTTTCCAAATTCATATTTAACAATTTCAAATTTCGATTTTGTATAATGTCTTTTTCGAATCAAAAGTTCATCAAAAAGTAACAAGTCACCAATTTATTTTTTAAATTTCACTTTTTCGATATTAAGCAAATTTCCAAAAAATGTTTCCAAAATATTTTTCGAAAAAATTTTTTACAAAATTTTTTTTTTTCGAATTTTCAATTTCAATTTCTTTCGAATAGCTAAAAGCAGATTACTTACTTACAGGTGCGCACTGATGATGACTCAACAGTCGAAAGCGCTCTGCTACAAATATTGAATGAATTATTTTGCACGAAATACAAATCTTCCCTTCTTTGGTATATATTCACGTGCACACAGCCCAGCAACCCTCACTCATTCGGAATATGGTAGGTTAGATAAATCGTGTGTAGCCAAACACATGTTCAATCACAATCATAACACACATATTAATAACCTCAAATTAGTTGAGCAAGTTAATAATGTTTAGCTTAGCTTAGAGATATTTGGGAATAGTAATAATAGAGTAATGAATGAGGATGATCCTTCTCATCTAGCCCTCTGTATAGTTTAGTGATATTAGACCATCAAGGTTAACATGTGAACTGAACCATGACTAACATTAACTTGGCGGTTAGTGTCTTTCACGGTTGGGTGGACATATACCCAGTATATACGGAGCACACTACGATAGAACATATAGTTTCAATCTCCTCCTGAAGATGCTAACATAGTTAGCGAAACACGTGTCGAGGCGTAAAAAATCGGTTTGGTTAGTGGCAAAACAGTGCGTAGTGTATAATCGTGCCAAAGATTCCAGTCTTCGATATATAGGTATCATGTAGGAAATAAAACATAAGATGGTCAAAAATCAATTCTTTAAATCAAATGAAGAATACATGTATGATGATTTCCCCAAGAATTCTAATGAAGCCATCAACAACTTTCAAACCAAGTTACCTATTGTAAGTTGTCCTAAATAATTGTAGATTTATTGAGCATCTCCAGCATTTTGACTACAACCAATTTTTCAAAAGGTCTCATAAAATCACCACCACTAACTTTTCTAATATGAAATCAGAAAGGAGGAGTGATAAGGAATAAAAAATAGCAATATTTGTATAACTCCAGTGATCTGGTAGGGGCAGTGGTAAAAGCATTATGAAAACAATATGAATTGATGAAACTTGTGTGCTTTTTCTGCTTTTTATAAATGTTGATCAACGGCTCATCAGCAAAAATATTTCATATTGATGTTTTGATTTTTGGAAATATGGGATTCGAAACGACCAATTATTAAGAATGGATCCCTATGAGAAATGTTTGTTGATCACCATCACTTCAAAATTCAACGTTTTTTCCACGCCATCCATTGGTTCGTGATTTTCTCGAATTGTACATGAAACTCATTAAACTCAATATTCTCTAAGACCCATAATAATCGTCGAATGTATCAAATCTCGAACATCGTTTATCTTGTAATGATTTTTGGAATAAACAGCTACTTCTCAGAGCCTCGATAACAGTTTGACCTGCACAACAAGAATCTCTGAGCCGAAGCAAGTTTCATTACATTACATTACCTGCAGCGCTATCGCTTCGTCATCATCGTCGGCTTGCTTGACAGTCTGCAGCAGCTCCTGCTTCAGTTTGCTCTTGGTAGGAGAGGTGTTGGTGGAGGAGGAACGTCTGTCGTTGATAGCCGAAACGCTTCTTCTGCCTGGAAAATATCAGAAATGATTCAATTTGGTTTTTGGAGATGTAGTAGGAGATGGGTATCGCAGTAGTAGACCTATAACGGTAAGAGTTCATTTTTCACGTTATCTCATGTTTATTCACGTTTCACGACAAAACAACAACGGAATAATCATCCAGAATACGGGCGGTATATTTCCGTCCAGAACTGTCTCAGTCATACTATTGATAAATTAAAACAAGATAACAGAAGTGATAAAGGTCATACGAGAAACTTCTGCACTAGAACTCCCGCTTGCATGAAAACAACAAGGTAGCAAAGGTAGACATGTCTTTTCCGACTTCTCCTACAATCCTTCCTCGAGAATCTGGGCCTATATTAGAGTATTAGACCAGCCTAATGCATGATAACTGATGATGGACAATAAGTGTACCCAGCATATTCAGGTCGAGAACCCTTCCAGTTATACTACCAAATGAATTGACATCTCAGTTGACACAAATGAAACATGCAATACAATAAGGCTATCTGCTTTTTCATGAATCTGCATGGCCTTCAATAGACTCCCATAGTGATCGATAATTGACGAAGGAAGAGTTCCACCCAGCATATTTTGGTTCAGAACCATCCCAGTTATACTACTAAATGTAGTAACATTTTGGGCGAAATATATATAATATAGAAGACAGGTTAGCATTCCGTGACTTACTCAGCAATACTCCACCAAGAATCAGTATAGCCTGCATTGAACCATCCTACCACAGTCCTATACTGAGGGATAACATATACAGGTTCAGAACCCTCTCAGTTATACTACTAAATGAATAAAATAACATCCTAGGTATGGTCTTCACAAAGTCAAAAAGAAAAAAGAATCACTTGAGACAGCTTGATAAAAAATGATCGACCGCATTTGCCGGTTTGTCTGAGAAGTTCGAATGAACCGCGAGCCGCCAACGATTTTTTTGCTGAATTTCTGTCGAGTGACATTGTAAAGTCTATAATGCATATAAAAACAGGTGATACAGGTGACAATTGGATCTTCTGCCACTTGATGATCTGTTTCTTCAAGAATATGTATGGCCTTCACTAGACCTCTTGTCCACTAGATCCAGGACCGGCTCAGTTTTACCAAAAAATGAAGTGAGACTTCAGGTGACATAGGCTATATTCCGAAAATAAATCGAAAATTCAGTGCTGTAATTCGGAACATGTTTTCATGGTTTTCATCAGTAATCAGCAGCAGTTGATCAGCTGGTGAACTTGGTCATTTGTCACTTATGTATAGTTTCTCGTTCAGCTGAACTAGATATTATTCTCAGCTCCAATTATTTTCATAACAGGCATTTTCTGATATTAAAAATGATATTAATAATTTATCATTGATGAAAACAACGAAAATAAATATGACATTCCTTCTCCCTCTGAAATAATGACAGTTTACTGAAGCTACACTACCTTTTGATAGTCAGCAATTTCAGCAAAGTCGAAATATATGAAATTAAAAGTATGTCTGCTCACAAGTATCTGATGTCTATTCCAGTGAATTTTTTGATTTTGGAATGAAAAATCAGCAGATTCAGTACTGTCAGTTGAATTCGGAATAGAGCCAATGATAACAAAGGTGATTCAGGTGAGAAGTCTTCTGCGGCTTCCTCAGCAATACTCTGCGAGACTTTCTTGACCCCTTATTGCATGATAACTGATGATGGACAAGTGTCATAGAGCATAATCAATGTGTTGCAGAACTCTCCCATGTTATACTACTTGTTGAATTTACATGTTTTAACGATAGATGGTGCGGGTAGTTGGAAAAGATGTTGGCTTATTGTTATTTGGAAAATGGTATCGTTAACAAAAATCACAACTTAATCTTATATCAATTTATTTCTGATATATACACGGTGTCCCGTAGAGACCACGTCAAACCTCTATAAAAGTCTTACCGACATATGTTTTTTTTGGGATATTGAATTTTTGCCCCATTCAATAGTTTTGTCTGTACGGTTGGTACAATTTTACATCTTTCTGATTCATTTTTTCAGTAAATATTGCTGAAAAATGATTTCAACGTATACATTAAAAACATTCTCCGATCATTTCAAAGGGGGTCTGTGAGAAATATTTTTATTGAAAACTTTGGTAGTGGATATTTTCAAAAAAGAAAAATAACTCGGAAACGGTATGACTTTTATAATGGGAATTTTGTCATATGCAGGTGGGCTATCCTTTGATCTACATTCTCCCTAGGTTTGCGTGGTCTTTACGGTACACCCTGTACATATATCGGGATTTCCATACCTGTTGAATTCCTGGCAAAAGGAGAAACGAACGTTTCCATCGTCACGCTAGGCCGCGAACTTTTAGGCCGTCCACTCCAAGTGCTGATCTTAGATTCGGGCTTCTTCAGTTGCGAAGCGCCCTTTCTGGGACTCTTCTGTACTTCCGGTGCCCTTTCCGCGCTGCTCGTCCTGCTGGAGGATTTCTTTTGGACTTCCGGTTTCGAACTCAGGAAAGAGCGCTCGCGGGTTTTAGCGGCGACCGAGGTTATTTCTTCTTGCCGAGGTATCTCCGGCGATCTGGAGGGAGATTCGGACAGCTTCTCCATGGACTGGAGGGTTTTCTCCAGTTTCGCCTTGATGTTCGCTTCGTTGTCGTAGATTCTTTGTGAGAACTGGGTTTTTCTGAGGCCGAAATCGTTCAATTCGTCTTCTGTGTACATGAGATGCTCTGGAATAACAACAACTATACTATTGAAATGGGTCTGTTTTAGTTAATAGTAGATTATACATCAAGGGACAGAAATGCAAGATTTTTTCCAAGGTGCGATTTGTAGCTCGAGGGCGAAGCCCGAGAGATACAAAGCACCGAGGAAAAATAGCATTCTGTCTCCTGAGTTGTATATACTATTGTTTACGCTGGCGAAAACACAAAAATTAAGAAAGAATGAAAATTCGGTCAAAGTGTTTTGTTATAATTAGTAGTATAGTTTGTGAAATTCGTATCTTAACAACATGCATCTTGTTGACAACCCATGGTGAGAGCAAATATCAAACTGAAATTTATGAAAACAGCTTTGAAAATGTTTAACGGAGAAAAACTATTGATACTGCTTCTGCAGTGATTCTTAACTTGCTACCAGTGAGATCTAGAATCTGTATGATGCAGCTTATACTCGCTTCAGAGAAGGGTGTTCCGAAGAGAAAGTGCAGAGCTATGTGGAAAATGTAAAGTTGGTATAAACTCCCTAGGGAGAAAATATGTCACATTATCTCCCTAGGGAATAATACGAGACTTATGTCCCTATTTTGTTACCATTATTTCGATGTATTATCCCTAACTAGTTCACAGTCGAAAACTGATTTTTCCTCAGAGCTCTGTACATATTTTAAATAATCATTGGAATTCACGTTATTTCATAACAAGAAAAACGGGTGACGAAATCGATTCGACTTACGTTACCATTCTCTATTACTGTAAGACAAGTGCGAGACTATTTCTCATTGTCATTTTTATCAAAATTAGAAATGAATCTTCTGGACTCAACTCAATGCAGATAACAGAGAAATCAACACACAACTGAAGGATAAGATAATCTGAAGAGTATCTCTGAATTTTCGCAGTTTTGTTAGATTTGATGCTAGATGATAGGTTTTAAAGATGAAGAGGTGACAGACGAGGATGACGTTAAAAAGTTGGGTTAGAATTACTCTTGTCACATTGATATTTTTGATGAACTCTAAGCATTATGCTGTTACCAGGGTCACAAAAGTTTGGATTTTAATGAAATGTCGATCATAATAAGGAATATTAGGATATTATTCCTATTGGCACTGGAGCATCTCGCAAGATATATAATAAGTATTCAATAAGTGATTATTAGGGACCAGGTGGAACCATTGTCTTCTCTGTGAATATAGTTGTCATTGGTCATATTGAATCTCATAAGGTAATAACTAGTTATAGATTTGGCAGCGTAGAAATATGTGGTTATCCTCGCATTGGTTGTCGAGGAATAAAGAGGAATATTTCAACAAATATCGCTCTTATTGCCAGTTGCCACGTGACGTCATCGAGAGTTGGCATTTTTCGAAGGAGCCGATTTTGTATATTGAAACAAAGTTTTGGTGATGATATTGAAAAAGAATTTTTTCAGATATATTATGAACATAAAGAAAAAGCAAAAAGTTTATACTTAGGAAGAAATACATTGAGAATTCGCATTCTCTATCAGATGATTTTAAATAACGAATGATTGCATCAAACCCTCGGGATGATCAATATAAAATAGGTATGTGGCGTTAATTCGACTAGTGTGTACAACCCCATCACGGAGGATATGATAAATTTCCAGCATATTACGTAGTTATTAGATAAATCTGTGAACATTGGTAGAGAGGTGGGTTCCCTATCAATAAGATATTTCATATGCATTTTTCGCTCGACAGGACTATCTTATAAATTGGCTCTTTCTACATCCTTTGGAATTAGCGCTTATTTATTTATTTATTTATTTCTTATTTTATTCTTATTTTTATTTATTGAACAAATAACTTCCAGACAGAATAGGCTCTGGTATAAGGAAGTACATAATTATATACCTATAGGTAAACATAGCATCATTCAAAATATATCAACAACTGTAAATTGGTAAACAAAGAATAATATTTGTGAAAAAAAAAATGGCATGATTAATTTCATCCAGTCCGCTCAGAAATAATCAGTTTTTTTACTTCATTTTTGAAAATACCTATATTTCTGCAATTTTTTATATTATCAGGTAGTTTATTGAATTCAGTTAAGGCTGAATGAGTGAATCTTTTTTGTCCGATTAGGGAGCTAGCGGCGTCAAGATGAAACAATAAGTTATATGGTCTAGTTTCATGATTATGAATTTCAGAATTCCGTATCAAAATAATATTCGACTTCAATTTTTTATTTATGATATTATATGATATTTTAAGAGTTTCAATTCTATATATTTCATCTAAAGAATACGTATTTGTTATTTCATACAATTGATTGGTTGGTGTATCAAATTGGAGACGATACAATACTTTTAACGATTTTCTATATAATGTTGATATTTTATTGAAATTATTTTTTGAACAAGATCCCCAAACATTCATTAAATAGTTGATACGACTCAGTATATGAGAGTAGAGGATCATGTTTGCAATTTTAATATCAAGTTTGGGACATCTTCTCAATGCACCAATAATTGGAGATATTTTTTTTGTCAGAACATCAATATGAACTTAATGACGAAACTAACTATGAATGAAAACAATGTGAAATTTTCAGTCTCCACTCACCATTTTCTTCAGCATCTTCTGCAGAATTTTGACTGTAAAATGAAGACCTTTGCCTACTTTTATCTTGTATTATTCCAAGGCTTCTGTAGCCTTCGTCGGACATTTCTGAAGTCGTATCACTGTGCTGGTCAGTATCGTTCACCTGTAGACTGATTTCTGATTTCAAAACCTAGAAAATAATGACAGTATTGATGAAGCTATCATTATCAACCTGATCATGTATAGTTTCAATCAAATAAAAAAGAAATGTTAATCTGAAGTGAATACCTAAAAAAGTGTACTTATGCCATGTACCGGATGGGGCAAAAGAATGACTATCAAAAAACTGCACAGCTCACAGTTACGAAGATCACATCGGTTTCCTTCCATCGAAAAGTTATGTTGAAACTATTCCTCAAACAACTTGACGAACATATTCAAGTCGGCTAATTTAATATTTTTATTTCTGACAGTGACATTATAAGCTTATATCGTCATAGTTACGATATCTATAATGAGGGTCATAACTCCCTTGGGATGTTATAGATGCTATAATTCCCTCTAGCTAATATTAAATAAGAAATGCATAGCAACAACCATGCCATAACGTAGCAATAAGGAATCTCCTATTCGCGGTAGTCAAGATCATCATCTGACGTTCTGATACTTCTGATGACATTGAAACTATACGGAAAAACATGTCTAACTTCCAATCGGGAAGGTATCTAATGAATGAAATCAGTCAGAAATAAAATTATCTATGTATCACGGGAATTACTGAGCCTCAATAACCTCAGGCAATTGCTGTCCGTCGGGCCAGAGGCCCTCGGGACGCAAACTTTGCCGTCGGTAATTAAGGCCCTCATAATTCCCTTAATACATAAATAACTATTGCATTCGCTTCCCTGATGACCATCACGTCCTCCATACTTGACACCTTTGGATTTTTACCGTTTGAATATTTGAAAGATGAAGTATCCAAGAGAGATAGCATGCTGCAGAAAGCTGCAAGCATCAATTACATTTCCGACAAGAAATGATGAAGAGTTATGAAATTAACTTTTTAAAATTCTCAAATTGTTCCAAGAAGAAACGATACCGGGTTTGATATGATTATTTCAAACGATTATGAAGATATTCGCATTCGAAGTTTCCATATGAAAAATGGGTGCGACGGCGCAATATCGAAACTTTTTTCTCTGTCACACTCATTGAGTTTATGGAAACTTTGTGAATGGTAATAACTTCGTAATCGTTCGAAATAATCCTATCAATCCCGGTATCGTTGAATTCTGAATTCGTTATGATAATCCCTGACCGATTATGGAATAAAATACAAGGTGTCCAATTTAAAAATCGAAACTTAGGTTCATTTCCGGAAAAGAGTACGCCAAAGCAACTAAATATGTCAAAAAGTGTCAAATGAACTATAATATACATCCCCCATATCTAGTTTTACTAGGTAAAAGGGGTCAAAAAAATGTGAATTTTCGAAATCACCCTGTATCTCATAAACGGAAACAGTTATGCTGTATCTGATTGGGCCATCTTTAGGTTCACATAAAAGAAGGGCAGAAACGTGAAAACTGCAAGGGTCTATTTTTAATAAGAGAGAGATAAGAAATACAGGGGGAAATTGAAAAATTGCCGATTTCGTTTTCATTTTCTGAGTACTTTATGGTGGGGAATATTGAAAACTTTCGAAAGTTTATTCATATAGTATGATGCGAACAATCCATTGGCATCATTAGAAATTTTATACAGGGTTACATTGAAAAGATACGGCAGTCAATTATATTTTTTCTTACGGAACACCCCGTATATTTTGGCACAGTTAGATAGTCCCAGGCGTTCCAATTTCAAATATATATACAGGGTGTTATTTAAGTACGTGGCCAAACTTGAAGGGGTGATTCTTTGAGTGATTCTAAGACGAAAAGTTCATATATACATAGGTCCGGTAATGCTTCGTTCTCAAGATACAGGGTGTCAAAATTTTCAAAAGAAATCATTTTTTTTGTAAATATCTTAATAACCCTTCAACCGATTTCATTGAAATTCGGCAGTGTTATTCAAGGTATTCCTGTGACGAGCCGAAGCCAAAAGAGCCGAAGGCAAGTGCTGCAATTCATACATACATATTTTTTGTTTTTTCATTGCATTAATTCTGGTAGAAAATTCCAAGACTAGAATAGAGTATTAATATGAAAAAATATTAGTAAGACCCCAGTTTTTGATGGTTTAGTAGTTGAAATGTTTTATTGTGTTGTCACAGGGATGTGCAATGAAGTGATTTTTATGTTTTTTCTCAAAAACAAAGCAAGATACGAAAAAAATTCTAGAAATAAAAAAGTTGTAATTTTAGTTGCTCAATGTGAAACAAATACAAAAATTGCAAAAAATTCAGTGGCGCACATTTTTTCTGTCAAAAATATTGGTTACAGTGCCTTCCGGGACGCCACTGGACATGATAATTTTGATATAGTTAGGGTTAAATTAGCCCTTTACGACCTTGAATAACACTGCCAAATTTCAATGAAATCGGTTGAAGGGTTATTAAGATATTTACGAAAAAAATGATTTCTTTTGAAAATTTTGACACCCTGTATCTTGAAAACGAAGCATTACCGGACCTATGTTTATATAAACTTTTCGTCTTAGAATCACTCAAAGAATCACCCCTTCAAGTTTGGCCACGTACTCGCAAAAATATATTCAGTATGTGATGGTACACTTCCGTATCTTCCGCAATAATCATTGAGGTTGGATTTATAAATTTGCAACTGTGAGAGAGATGCCAAGGATACACTCGAGGACCTAGGGGGAATAACTCCAGTGATAACACTGCTCGCCAGCAGCTATGGAATCACCGACATTGCTGGAAAATGCTATATCAAGAGGAAGAATATCGCTTGAAAATGACAATTTTTATAATATTGACCAAAGGAGGATTTCTAAAAAACCATATACCGGGTGGCTACAGAAGTATTGCCTACGGAATATCTCAGTTATTGTATGAAGTAGGTTTGTGAAATTTGGAGCGTCGATATAATGACATAAGAGCTAGAATTTGAGCATATTGACATGTCGAAGTTAACTTCCGGTCTGACCTGAAGTAACATCAACTTTCTTATTTTAAATGGAAACCCTATTTTTTTTCTTTTCGCTTTATTCAGCATTCAATTCCCTTTCTAATGACATATCACAAGTTGGTATCTAACCAGCAACTAGATCAGAAAAAAATTATTATTGAAATTCACCGAGTAGGCCGTGGAAGCAAAATGAAAGCCAAAAATTGAAAAATTAGCTATGGAAACCATACGTCACTTGATAACAGTTGCTACTACTGTGATATTTTATTTTCATTCGTCGGCGTTATAAAAAGCCGCCAAAAAAAATATTGGAAAAATTGAGAAAAAAACAATACTCTGTAGGTCTATAACTTAAATAGGAACATACAACTTTTTCTTGCCTGTACTATTCAGCATAACCATTCCTTCCTAATGATATAATAGAAAGTCATTTTTTGAAATGAAATACGCTTATCCAAGGCCTACCCGGTGAATTTCAATAATAATTTTTTTCTGATCTAGTTTCTGGTTAGATACCAACTTGTGATATGTCATTAGAAAGGGAATTGAATGCTGAATAAAGCGAAAAGAAAAAAATAGGGTTTTCTATTTGAAATGAGAAAGTTGATGTTACTTCCGGTCAGGCCGGAAGTTAACTTCGACATGTCAATATGCTAAAATTCTAGATCTAATGTCATTATATCGACGCTCCAAATTTCACAAACCTACTTCATACAATAACTGAGATATTCCGTAGGCAATACTTCCGTAGCCACCCGGTATATCGTCGAGATCACCAAAATGCTGAAGAACTGCGTGAAGACGTTATTTCAGCATTCCAAAAAGTGACACCCATAAACTTTACTAACGCAGTGAATTATTCTGTAAGGAAACGATGTCAAGTTTGCTTAGGCCAGAACGGAAGACAATTTGAACATCTTCTATATTTCTCAACGTCACCTACTAATTTCCTAATTAGGTGAATTATTATTTGTCTTATTTCGATAGTTTGAATGTAATGATAACAATGATATCAAATAGAATAATTTCTGTTTTTTTCTTATCAAATATTCATTTGTCTGGGAATAAAATATTTGAATCGAATTATCATTGATATTCATTTTCCTCCTTTGGTCAATATATACAGAGTGTCATTCTCAACCTATATTCTTCCTCTTGATAGCATTTTCCAGAAATCTCAAATTATGAATCCAATCTCAATGGTTATTGCGGAAGATAAGGAGGTGAACCATGAAAAATGTGACACGCTGAATATATTTTTGCGAATATTTCTGAAGTTGTGAAAGGAAAAGGTCGAGTTATATACAGGGTGTTTCATGAGCAGACTCACATAGCCGAATGGTTGATAGGGGAAATCAAGACGAGTTGATGTATATATATGAAAACATTTTTTGACCCTCCATAACGAAGATACAGGGTATTATGTGAAATTGCTATATAACTTTGATCGTCGATAGTACAGAAATGATTCGTCGTAATCTACTGAAATTTGGCAGCGACGTATCACTACTGAAACTATTCAAGATGACATATTATGAAAAAAAATATCCAGGTCCGGACTTGGGAAAATTTTATGTTTTATTGTTATGTCAAAAAAGTTCACTTTGTGACCACTTTTCTCGAAAAATTCCATCAGATTCAGAAAGATCAGACAAAATTCTTTGAGAACTGCTCTCCAATTTACACGGCACACTTTGTCCGGTTCAATAAAATAATATGGAACAAAATCGTTCGAATGAATTTTAAATTTCGACCTGGCTGATAACCGTCAACTTTCAACTGGTATCATGTGAATTGATTTTTTCTACATTTTTGTTGAATAGTAATTGACAGAAGAATAGACGAGAAGAAATAACACGATATTTTTTTATCGGAATTCCAGATAGATATTATTATTCCTGACTTCGTTTTATGGGTGTCGCTTGAAGTGAGATATCGAGTAGGTCCGGTTTTTCATTTGTGTGACGAGACGTGACGTTTGTTGATAATCCGAACTGATAGGTAGGTACTAGGCTAGTACTAGGTAGGTACCATCTGATGAAATTACGACATGAGGATTCATGTGCTCATAAGCCCATATTATGGTGATTTATCAAATTAGTTATGCCATCACGCATAAACTTAGCTCCATTTTCTGTTATTGATACACTTCTGCAAGTGACATAAGGATATGCATTTGCTATTTATTCAAAATTCCTAATGTTCATCATCGTGAAGGTTTTACTGCAACGTATTCTTGGTTCAGGGAACATTGTATGGTATTAAACATTTTCGTCTTGTTCAGCATTTGGAATATGAAGTGGCACCTATAGAGTGTAAGAATATTTCGATCACCAGTGTTTACCTATCAACAAACGCCATGTTACATAAAATAAAAACAGGGCCCACTTTATAATAAATTTATAAAATAGAGTCACGAGTAATCATATCTATCAAGAAGGTCGATCAAAAACTAACATGTCAAATCATTAAAGAATCAGTACTAATCTCTTCTGTCAATTTCTATACAATGAAAATGTACAAAAAATCAATTAACACGAATCCAGTTAAAAGTTGAGAGTTATCAGCCAGGTCGAAATTGAAAATTCATTCGAACGTTTTTGTTCCATATTTTTTTGTTGAACCGGTCAAAGTGTGCCGTGTAAATTGGGGAGCAGTTCTTATAGCATTTCGTCTGATATTTCTGAATCTGATGGAATTTTTTGAGAAAAGTGGTCACAAAGTGAACTTTTTTTGACATATAACAATGAAATATAAAATTTTACAAAGTCCGGACCTGGATATTTTTTTCATAATATGTTATCTTGAATAGTTTCAGTAGAGGTACGTTGCTGCTAAATTTCAGCAGATTACGACGAATTATTTCAGTAATATCGACCATCAAAGTTATAAAGCAATTTCACATAATACCCTGTATCTTCATTATGGAGGGTCAAAAAATGTTTTCATATACATACATCAACTCGTCTTGATTTCCCCTATTGACCATTTGGCTATGTGAGTCTCCTCATGAAACACCCTGTATATACAGGGTGTCCCAGAATAACGTTCGTATAATCCGGAAAGTCGATCTACAGATAAAAATGTTCCTATCAACAGGTGTCCGAAAATTCTTCCTAATGGCGCTACAGCCCTTTGAAGGTTGGTCCCTAAATGCAGTTTTCTTCAATTATCTTTGTTACCATTGATCCTAGAATCATGAAATTTTGTACCAATGGGTAATTTGATCTCATAAATCGTTTGAAGGAATGGAAAAAATGATATAATATACAGGGAGGTGCGAAACTTGTAACCCGTGCTGTAAAAATGTCTCAATTTTTTTTGTCTCACACTGTATCTTCTTGCTAGTACCAGAATATGATTTTCCAAACACTTCATGAAAAAGGTACTCTTGTTGGAATGCCGTAAAACGAACCGTTTTCAAGAAAACTGTTATTTTTCTTTTTGATATCCGAAAGAATTCACGTCAGGAATTAATCAGTCTGTCAAATTTCGACAATTTTGTTGCGGATATTTTCTCAACAAATCAAGATCACAGGTATCTCAAATAAATCTATATCTAACTGGAAAATTCCAATACCTACCTCCTATCCCTATCCTCCCTAGGAACGCACGATGTTCTTTGAACATTATAGGGATTCCCTTTCGTGCGCTCCAAGCGATAAAAAAAAATGCGGCTGCAACATGCGGCTGCGACATGCGACTGCGACATGCGGCTCGTACCGTACCCACCCACCTTGGCATCTATCGGGATCTGCATGCTGCTAACGACGCTCCTCGCCTTGGGCGGGGCGGGCAGCGACTGCGGGCCCGCCCTGCGCTGCGGACTCCCGCCCGTCGACAGCTTGGCGTCCAGGCTGGATGTGTAGTTGGGCGTGGGACTCCTCGACCGCATCGGGGGCGGGGCTAGGCCCTTGCGCGGGCTGAGTGAGCGGCGGCCGGCCGGCGAGCGGGACCGCGACCTGTTGAGGGCGTTCGTGGGCGGGCCGAGGTAGGCGGGCGCGCCCTGCGCGGTGAGGGTGGGGGCGTTGGGCGGGTCGGGGGCGGACGATCTGCGGCAATCAGGGTGGATGGATACCACTAGTTAGCAATACAGTCAATGCATGCAGGGTGGATGGATATCTGAATGAACCGGGTGACACGTTATGATGTCTAGCGGCTGGCAACACGGATTTCACTTTGCTTTGAGACTTCTGATGCGCTTAACGTTGGCCGCTCTGTGACCGTGTATGAGTATGTTTTGTAGTAGTTTAATTTCAGTATACAGTAGTCGATGGATGAAGTCGAGTAGATTTTTTTCGATGTTTGAAAAATTTAACGACTACTAAGAACTGAGCTTCACGACGAGTCGAAAATATGAATCGTTTGGATTGACTTTGGAATTACGCGCCATCAATATTACATGCTTTTTCATTAATCTGTAATTTCAAAATCGTTAACGATTTCACTGATAAGTCAAAACTTGGTATCTCCGTTCATTCATTTATGCACCTGAATTGAATTTCAACTTTCATTAACTATTCGCTAAAAGATGACCAACTTTTATCTCTTAACAATAAATACAAATAGAAGACTTACGCAGGCGCGATTCTGTCAGAAGTCAGACAAACATTTTCTTCCTCTTCTTTTTCCAAAATGTGTTTGAAAATTCTGAGAACTCTATATAGTCGTATGTTCAGATTAGACTTGAAACAATATGAATGAATGATTCGTATTGTAGTTATTATGTGATCACTGAATGTTATAACACAAATATTTTCATCGGGCGAAGTACGCTAACGATTATGTTTTGAACAAGAAGAAGAGTTTGGAATTGAAAAACGTGGTGCATAAAGGTATCATAGTCCTCAAATAAAAATAAATTCAATTACAGTTAATGAAAGCAACAAATTAATGAAGAAGCGGTGTGCATAAATCCACTTTTATTTTAGCCATTTCTGAGTTTATAGTGAATGTTTCGTGATTGACAAAAATATTACCAATGATTTTTACAAGAATGTCATGAATATTTTTAGTTCTTCGCAATCATTGTTATCGCAATTATTTTACAAGCAATATCATTATATATCATTTTGAAGACAAAAAAATTAGGAATTTATTGAGCTTATGAAATACAGGGTGTTCCATTTAAAAATTCATAAGTTTGAGTCGTATCTCCAAAACCATACCCCGAAAAAAAAATTTAAGTACGCCACTGGATTATGCGTGAAATTCTCTATGCGATGAGATTTTGATTTGACATTTTTGTTGAGAAACTTCGTAGATATAGAGAGGGTCCAAAAAGTTTAAATTTTCAAAATCGCCCTGTATCTCATAAACGGTAACAGTCTTGCAAAATCTGATCAAGCCATATTCAGTTTCACAAAAAAGTGTCACAGGACCGTGAAAACCGCAAGGTTCTATCTCCAAAGATAACTGAGATATCACGCAAAAGCATCGAAAACGGGACACACTGTACACTTCAGGCACACAAAATATATTAAAGACAGTGTAGTTTTGGGCAAAATAATTAAATTAAACTGATTGGTGAAGGTCGACCTTACTTCAGATCAACTACATTAGCGTCTGCGGGACGGCCGCAAGTAATAACTCCGTGGTGGGAGAACGTTATAGTGGGCAGTAGATGCGACTGGCGTTATGCGGCGCCGACTGAATGACTTCATCATACTTCGTCTCGTAAGCAACTGGTTGGCTCAGTAAGCAGAGCATCGGCATTTCAAGCCGGCGGGCCGGAGTTCGAATCCGTGCGAGGCTCATCTTTTTTTTATTTTTTCTTGTTCTCAAGTGATTTCTAAAAAATATTCTCTATGGGAAATAGGTTCATTTAGGGGTTTTCTATGTTTAGGCCAGAGGTGAGGTTCGGTTAGGTTAGGTTAGAATAGAATAGAATATTTTATTTGGTGTTAATAAACATTAAGTTTTACACAGGTCAACGAAACAAGTACAGATATACTCATAAAATAGATAGGTTAGGTTTTCTCATTTTTTATGCAGGAACAATATTTTCCTTCCTCAAGAAAAATTCTCCTTCTAGAATATTTTATTTGGTGTTAATAAACATCAAGTTTTACACAGGTCAACGAAACAAGTACAGATACACTCATAAAATAGATAGGTTAGGTTTTCTCATTTTTTATGCAGAAACAATATTTTCCTTCCTCAAGAAAAATTCTCCTTCTTCAAGAAAAAAGGTTCATCTAGGTCGATTGATTGTTAAAAAAAATTCCTTCCTTATATTAGACTCGACACAAGTTAACTAACGTTCCCCTACCACGGAGTTATTACTGTCCGCAGACGCTAGTATCTACTACTATACGAAATGAAGTGACCATTACCTGTCATAGTAAACTTGCGACCCATGCAGATCGACTGCTCCCGGTTTGTTCACTAGCTTCGCGCTCTGCGTCGTTCTGTGCTGGCTGCGACATCTGCAGGGGTCGTGTTTGTCCAAGTAGTGGGACAGGGTGTCCCAACCACCGCCCACTCGCACCATCACGTGGTTGCGGAGGATCTGTTCACAAAAAAGCCCTGAATGTACTGTATCGTCTACCATTCTGACAACTAATATTATAAAGAGGAAAGATCTGTTTGTGTGTTTGTATTGAATAGGCACCGAAACTACTGGACCAAAAAATTCTTTTACTATTAGAAGCCGACATTATTCCTGATGAACATTGGCTACTTTTTTATGGCTTTGTGGACATGGTCCCATCAGCCAGACGCATTTTTGTATAATCATAAGTTCATAGGCTACTTTTCACCGCGGGAAAATGCTTTATTCCTACAGGAAAACGGGTAATATGACAACGGATAGTACGAATTATCCTTTTCACATAACTTCCAAACGGCTGAACCGATTATAGGTTGGAATTTCATATAGGTATTTCGAAATTGGGAGAAAAAAGTGAGGTAATGACGTTTTGGGTGAAGCCTGATTTATGAAGGCACAAAACTTTATGAAGGAAACAAAACTGGAACGATTGGCCCCGTGGGAGAAACTCTAGATATTGGCTTGGTAATCAATGTGTTAATCTTCTGCCAAAAATGCTAACGTTGTTAGTGAAACACGACTGTTGTATAAAATATTCATAATACAAGTACTCCATCAAGAAAAAACGATTATTCACTGAACTAGAGTTTCTAGGGTACGCGATATAACATAATATATCAAGTCAAGTACCTACATAATTGAAATATAAAATTTTCTCTGAAAGAACAATCCGGTATCAATATAACGTCATAACAACCAGTGTGCGCTTGTAAATGAGTGGCCAATTAAAAATCAGAACTGATGTAAACTTCGACTTCACATATAACGAATTCAAGTACCTTTATAATATACTCACCCTAACGAAGATCAGCACTTTGGTGTCACCAATTCTATATTTTCCTTCGGACACTCTGATCATCGGAAACTGCGTTGGACAAGTGCATTTTTCTACCAAATCTCTGACCTAGAATAATTCGAAATATTAGAGCACCGCTCAAATTTGATTGTTTGTTTGAGAGAGATAAATGAATTTGATCATAGAGTCGATTATTATAGCATATAGATGCGTTAATTCAATTCGAATGTGCATATAACTGAAATATTGTAGTAACATACATATTTTTTGATTAAACATGCTGTAATACTTTGAAATACACCATTTTAGAACCCTAAAATTTCATGGAACGTTCAGACATAGCGTTCGGCGACAAACTCGTATCAGGGTCCTGCATCTCACTTCCCGTCTTCTATAGCTCGTCAGTTATCAGTCAGTCAGGATGATGATATTTTGCAGACTTCGACAATTGTATTATAGAACGCATATCAGGAAAACAATTCTGATTATACAGGGTGTTCCAGAAAAGTGTGACGTCATAATGGTATATTTTTTTAAATGGCACGCCATGTATTTTGCTGCACATTTGAGTGCTTCTAGTGGTTACCTATATACTCCTGGAATTTAATTGAAATCGGTTCAGTGATATTCTCGTAAAAAATAAAACAAAAAAAATAAATTTTGCACCACTGGTCATGAACATCAATAACAAAAAAGAGAATCATAAGAGATACAAATCAAATAAGGCCTGGGAGGATCGCTAACCGATTTTGATTGACACGAATCATCACAGGGTGTGCAAAATTTAGTTGCAAACTTTTCAAATTTCAAAGCACTATATTTTTCTATTTTCAAATTGGAGCCCCTGTATATTTTCATGACATTCGAGATGCGTGAATAAGAAATAATTTTTTTTTCTTTATAGAACCCTATCGAAATTCTCATAATATCAAAGAAATTCTCATAATATCAAAAGTTATTGAATTATTGATATTTAACTCTAATGAAGTGTCAAGAGTCTATTTGGGCTTGGGTAGTTCAAATTAAATACATTGTTAGCTCATTATTATATTTTTTGAGCTGTTTATCACGAAATACTGTTTTTTGTCATGGAGTACAACCAAGACGAGCTCGTAGATATAATTTTTATATTAGGAGAATGTAAGAAAAACTCTTTTCTTTTATATGCATCTCCATCTCTTATGATTCTATTGACCAGGCACTCTCTTTCTTGTTATTAATGTTTTTGAACAGTGGTGCGAAATTGAATTTTTATGTTATATTTTTTTACGTGAATATCAATGACCGATTTCAATTGAATTCCGGGAGTATGTTGGTAACCACTGAAAGCACTCAAATGTACAATAAAATATATGGCATGCTTTTTGAAAAAATATATTATCATGACGTCACACTTTATTGGGACACCCTGTATAATGGAAATAATTTTCCTGGTATGCGCCCTATGGGACAATTGAAGTCTGCAAAATATCAAAATCCTAAGTCAACTGATCAATGAGCTATAGAAGACGAGAGGTGAGATGCAGGACCCTGTATATCCATCAGTACTGACGGCATAATACCTTTTCCTGTATTGTATTGCCAGCTGTTTCATTTTGAGGAAACATCGAGTGAATATATCTCATTTTCGGAACGATCCATCTATGAACTGTCGATATGATTCGATATTCATTGATGTAGTAAATGTCTCCAATATAGGTTTTACCCCTAATGCAAATTCTAATGACATCATTACTAATCTAGTAGCAAGGGCGTACCCAGCGAGGGGCAGGGGGGGGCAACTATATATAGTTTAAAAACTTGTGATGCTTGTGAACGAATATTTTATTTGCGATGAAGTCGCAGATCTGTATGATGTTGAACTAGAAATATGAGTTGATACATGGTTATGGTTTGACAGGTTTATGAACGTGTGACAAGATCAAGGACAAACCTAAATACGATCAAAAAATAATGTATGTTGTGATTTACCAATGTGCCTACCTATAGGTGTAGGAAATTTCACCTATATTCATTTTGTTTTGTTATTTTTTTCATTCTAAACAGAATCTGAATAAATAAAGTTTTCTACGATTTTTTATCTGATGATATAAATCACCTGAAAATGATGAAATATGATCAAAAATGTCGCTAAATCACGAAAAAAAGTCGCTAAATTTCCAAAAATTTCGCTTTAGCGACTTCTAGCGGTTTTTTTTCCTAACTTTTGGCGACATATCATCTTCAGCAGCTGGCAACACTGTTTGTTACATTCTGGCTTAGGAGCACTATGGGTGAGACAAGGCTGACTGGATTATGCTTGATGAGCGTACATCGGAATTTTGTGGAAGAAAACCGTAAAATGGTGGAAACAAAAGTAATGGAAAAACTTGCAGCGAACCCGAGAAGATTATTATTGAGATGAAAATATAATAAAGAACAGTTAATTGAAATACTTATGTTTATTAAGATTTAAAAAAAACGTCTCAGTTGAAGCATGGCATGTCTAGTGATTGATACTGATTCTCGGTAGTTTCTAGTTCCCTTGCCTAAGCTGCCCCCCCCTAGTTCAGATCCTGGGTACGCCCTTGTCTAGTAGTGTAGCAGGTTTTGGGTTAAATATCTTAGGTTTAATCAACACCGAAAGCAGGTCCAAACCTCAGTAATCCGTTATACCGAGGTTGGTACAATCTAACTGAACGATTTTGGTATATACTTGGCATTTTAGTGAACCTCAAATTCTGATGACATCACTCTAATATATATGTCATAATATATCACAATCTGGTTTATGAGAAAACAAGAACAATTGAGTTTCAAACTGTCCTGATCAGTTCATCCGTGACATTGTTGAAATAAGTTATAAATCTTGATAGCGATGCATGTTGAAATATATCAACAAGCTAAAACTAAAGAATCGGCTGAGACGGCAACGCTGTTTATGCCACTGAATAGTGAATTATAGATTGTTCTCGTCTACCAATAGACGGTCTGGCGTTATTGTACTTGTGACGTCAGTACCTACCACTGATGATTTTTCTGTATGTTTTAACGGCAGAATTTCTTTGGGAATCTAGAAGTAAATCAGTGTTCTTGCTCAAGGATGGCATAAGGCTTCAGAATCAGCTGATGAAAATCAAACAGTTATTCGAATTCCAGAACGTACAGTGATTGATATGACGTCACAGGCCAGTCCGCATCATAATCCTTGCTTTCCAGTCTGCGATTCTAATCTGCTTATGTGATCTGCTTACGAACGTTATGCACGTGATGTACATTCGTATTGATTTGAAGTGGTAGAATTCGAAAGAAATTTATCCGATATATTCAGTCGATTATCATAATTTACCATCTGTTGATGTCCTGATATTGTATGAATTCGTGGCTTCAAAAATTATAATCAGATGAGTGAGTTGATAATCAAATCAGCTCTTAGGCTTCTTCGCCTAACTGATGAGACCGGAAGGTCGAAAGACATTGCACCCTAAAATATCATTGGGTTAAGGTGAAACCCGAATCCCAGTTTACTGCTTCGGATTCATTTGACAAAAGCAACCGATCTGGCTCTATCTTATAGATATTTTCATGGACGTTGCTCTTCTGAAATATTAACAATTGTTCCTCCCTTGGCAGTCCCCGCGAGATTAACCCTTCGAGTTGAGGTTTCGCAACCCTTCGTGGTCACTTTATTGGAGACCTGCAGAACATCTCTTTCCAAAGACTCGTTCATCCAACGAATACCGAGGCTCTGGAACACATTGCCAAGGGAGGTGTTCCCCGAGGCATATAACCTCCAGAAATTCAAGAAGAACACCAATTCCTATACCTTATTTCCCTTGGTTCTCACGATGTTCTCTGAACATTACAGGATATCCCTTTTCGTGGGAACCAGAACATAAAATAATGCGATCTTATACGAGTCAATATTTCAACGTCTCCTGCAGAGTATTCTTATTTCATCCACAGGACGATTCATGTGACGTACTTTTCATCATTTTTCGTGACACTATTAACACGAACTTGATTCAAACCATATACTTAGACGTTGTTTGTATAGTTTTGCAGTTTCTTGTGTCACAAAAAGTGTGAATTTGAGTAAGTCAAGACAATCAAGTGTGAGTGCGTTTTTTGGGATCATGGTGAGATAGGTGAGTTGAGTTACCCAATATAAGTAGATAGCATATCATTTCAGGAATTTTCACCCCGCGATAATCATTAATTCTATAATTGGCACAACACTCATAATACATAGTTTTTCTATGCAGTAGATATCTTAATCTTAATCTTCGAAATTCATTGAAAAAATAACATCCAAATTTCAAAAGAAAAATATCTGGCAATGTTTGGGGGTTATTCTGCCAATCGTGATCAGTTCATCACATACCTAGATTTCAGAAATGTTCACAATTATAAAAAAATACTTTGAGGTCAGTGGCAAGCAAATTTGCCAATTCTGAGGGTCAGGTCAATTGGAACTACAACAAATAGTCCAAATGAAGTGATTTGGAGTCTGAAGCAATCAAGCATAAATTTCCCACGTATTTCGTAAATTTTTATCGTCATAAACAGTAAAGCACGAACTCTAAATTGCCGATAGAAAGTCAAAGATTACCATGAAACAACATTCAATTGTCTTCAAACAATGGCTTCAGCTTAACTGTTTATTATTAAATTATGAAGAATCGGTACAGTAGGCTTCTACATAAATAAATCTTGTTTGTTTCAATTATTTATTGTCTATGGTTCTGTATCCTGCTTTAATTGCATCTACAGGTAGCTCAATGATATTATCTCCTTATAAATTCAGTTATGGCATCCAAAAATTGTCGAACAACATAATATAATAATGCCCCAAATAGATTTTTGTGAATTTAGCTAAGATTCATAATTCTTTGCCACATTACAAAGAAATTTCAATACAATTTGAAATGTATTTTATCATTGACAAAATTGCTCAGATATAATTTAGGGAGGTTGAGAGTTATTAATTAAAAGCAAGGTGCATATTTATCAGTTGGGAAAGCTAGGTAGCTGTTCATCATCACAAATTACTGTTAATTGGTCGATTTTAGGAAATTGAAGAAATATCATTGGTTTTAGAAATAGGCGTGTATTAATTGCTGTAATACAGGAAATATACAGGGGGTTTTCCGGCATAAGCCTGTGAATGTCATACTTCAGTACAGTAGCAGTAGCAGTTGAAAAATTGCTCCAAAGGGAGCTACGGTCTTCTTAAAGGGGGCTCCTGTAGATGATATTTCCTGAATATTTCCGAAACGCCATTTGATAAAATGATGCAATCCGGTACAAGAACTGAACTTTCTATGCCCTTTGCAGTGAAAATGATATCATTCCAAAATTCCATTCAGGAGTGTTAAATACAGGGTGAGACTACATTAAATATTGCTCAAACTTTTTTGTACCTATGCACATTTTTCGACAATCCAATCCCGGAATATGAAAATCGACACTGTTTTACAGAAAAAAGGGGCTCTTGTTCCGTTTCGATCAGATGTATCATGCATAAAGTTGCCAATTTTCAAACAGTTTTGCATCAGCTGAAGAGAAGTAAAGTCTGAAGATTTATGCTAGAAGTCGACTAGTTTCCTAGTTTAGTTTATTCTATTTATGTGTGCGTTCAGAAAATTCACGAATAAATACTGAATTTGGTTCAACAAAACAATTTGTCGAGTGGAAATACTGTTTCTCTTGAATCAACGAAATATTTCATTGGCCATTGAATCAACCAAATATTTCTTCGAATCAACCAAATATTTCTTCGAATCAACCAAATATTTCATTGAATCAGCTAAATAGTTGATTGATTCAATTCTTCTTATTGTAAATCAAACAAAATGTCTTGTCTTGTTTCAGTATTAGGGTTTTGACGTCACATCATCGCCTCGTTTTCAGAGGTCCGAAAAATCGGGGATTTCAATAATTTTTTATAAAACGTAGGTAGCTCACAGCAAGAAACGGTTTGCGGTGGTGAGCTAGTTTGGGTGAGTTCTATCGAAAAATGAAATGTATTTTTTTGTGATATAAGCCCATTCATGGATGTGCTTGATTGAATAAGATCCAGAGTTCATGCAAGACATTTTTACTTGATTCAAACTTCAAATTTGCTTTGAAACGAGATATTGACTTACTCATTTCAATACTATATTCTGTTGTGCATATATGACACTTAAATTCGCTTCATTCAATCAAATTGCATGAATTATTGAAGAAAGAAATAAAATGCTGATTCAAATTTAGATTTTCCAAATGAAATCGAGGAATCAGCATAAAATGCACCATTCCTTCCTCCCATATATTTCCATTTTATTACTCGTGTTGAAATGATGGTGTTGAAATGAACATAACCATCATCACCAGTTATGGAACTTCCGTCAGTTTTGAAAAGTGTCAGATTATATGTCAAAATTAGGAAAAATATTTTTTCTACTACTGCTATGAGAAGAAGCGCATTTCTCATAGCTTACTTAGTTTCAAAACCATGTATTGCTCATACTGTGAGAAATATTTTTCTCACGACACTTTGCCAACACCACATACATTTCCATGGAGAATCAACAAAAATCGACCAAAACTTGGCTGCTGTTCAGCTTTGGTTGTCACAACTGTCAGAAGAAGTTTTTTGAATTCTTTAGGGTAGGTAGTTCTCATTAGTGCTATTGATAGAAATCGCATTTTCCATCAAATATCATTCCAACCATTCATAATGAATAATATGATGTATACAGGGTGATCCACGGTGGATGGCCTATTAGAAGTATCTGGAGAACGAAAAGACAGAGCATTCTGAAAATTGGGATGCTTTGATAATTGAACATTCTCTATCAGTCTAAAATATTTTCATCGATACACTGTTGCCACTTTTATCAAAAACAACTAGCAACTTTGTTTTTTCGAATGGAACACCCTGTATTTTATTGCATTTTTAGATTCTTCCTGAAGAGCTGATTGCATCAATGCATCACACTTGGGGTCTAGCAGGAATGATTACAGAGATATAGGGTGTTCAAAATCGAGATTTTTCAATTTTAGGATTTTTTTGTGTCGAAACTATTCATTATCGATCAAAACGGCCCACTTGTCCCTATCTTCACTTTTGATTCACTATCTACTGGAATTTAATTGGAAAAAATACAGGGTGCTTCAAAATTCTGAATTCTGATCACCCTGTATCTGTTCCAAATAAATGTCAGTAGATAGAAAATCGAAAGTTAAGATAGGGACAAGTGAGCCGTTTTGATCGATAATGAATAGTTTCGACACAAAAAAATCCTAGAATTGAAAAATCTCGATTTTGAACACCCTATATCTCTGTAATCATTCCTGCTAGACCCCAAGTGTGATACATTGATGAAATCAGCTCTTCAAGAAGAATCTAAAAATGCAATAAAATACAGGGTGCTCGATTTAAAATAACGAAGTTGCTAGTTGTTTCTGATAGAAGTGGCAACACTGTATCGATGAAAATATTTCAGACGGATAGAGAATGTTCAATTATCAAAGCATTCCAATTTTCATAATGTTCTGTCTTTTGTTCTCCAGATACTTCTAATCGGCCATCCACCGTGGACCACCCTGTATACCGAGATGTGACGATTTTGATAAATACACCGCCGGAGACAGAGATAATGGGAAAGCTGCGAAAATTGGATTTGTTTCCGGAAATCTCAAGAAAAAAGTATGAATTGGCATATTGGTACGAAAAATTTATGGAATCTAAAAAAAATACAGAAATTAAATCTTTTTCGGAACGTGTACTTTTTTGAAATACTTTGAGGAAATTGGAATGGCGTCTACTCTTTGGTCACAATATTGAATGTGGCATTGTGCCACATTATAAAATGAATACCAATAAGTCATATTACTCGGATTCTTTGAATAAGTGCAGTTGTAGAAAAAGTATAGTGTGCAACATGTGGGGAAAAGCACTTTTCTCACTCGTTCGGTTGCATCACTCGCCTTTCAGGCTCGTGCCACAAAATTGCGCACTCGTGAGGAAAGTTGAACTTTTCCCACTTGATGCACAATATACTATATTCCAACTAATTACTCTGATATCCTCACCATTTCGTCCAGACTTTTCAAATCGTTGGTGACGATTTGCGGTGCCGGTCCGTACATCAAAACCGTTTCTTCGTCTTCGAGGTCGCTGTCGTCGTCGTCATCGTCTAAAACGTTCTGGTTGTCCAGCCCTTCGTTGAAATTCACTCCCAGCTTCTTCTGGTCGGCAGCTATCTCCCTGTCGATTTGCCTTTCCATCTGTACCAGCATCGGAGCTAACATTCCAAATCTGAAACATTATTTGTTTTAGTGGTACCTTTGACAAAAATGAAGATATACATTCATATAACACCAGACAAAAATCCATCAACCATTCTCACAGTTACACATAGGTCAGCAGTCACCAAAGCACATTGGAATCAGGTGCTTCAATAAGATTAGTAACATAATGGATAAAATGATGAATGTAAACTCGAATAATGAAAGAAACTGCAGGCAGCAGGTCCGCTCATTTTCAACTTTTAATGCATTTTATAGTGTTGAGGCATTCTTCGATCGATCGATGTTTCTTTTCTTTATATTGTACTTATGTTTCACCTGTATAAAACTTTCCACAAACACAATAAGGTATACTGTAAATACAATTTTTTGACGATTGTTCTTCATTTTTCGGCTTTGTTTGAGGTAGAATTGATCTTATTGTATTTTCAGTTTTGAACACAGTTTTCACTTGAAATTTATCACCAACACGTTTTATTTTTTCAGATATGCCGGGATAAATCGAAACTAGCTGAACATATCCTTACTGAAGACGGACAACATATGGCAGAGTGGAATAATATTAAAAATATTGGAAAAGAAGATAACAACCAGAAGAGAAAAATCAAGGAATCTGCTTGCATTCTTCTGAACGGAGACAATAGCATTGCTTCTTGTTCAGTTGATATAGACAGAACATGGTATTCACTACTAAAATCTGAACATGAAAATGGTAAATTCAAGATTAATTAATGAAAACATGCTGTAACTCCTTTGATTGCCAACGTCACCAATTGTCATTGAAAACTGAAAAGCTTCAAGACATATTATACGACTTCGCAATTGAAAAAATCTCTTCATGTTGAAAACGGGAGCAGAATCGGTCCCGAAACGTCCAAAGATAAGTGAAAATTTGATATTTTTCTATATACCTTTATTTCTCTTCTCCAAAAATTTTTCAATACAAATTGTCACTGACAAGCTAGTGAATTTTTCTTTTAGGCTCTCTGATAGGAAAAATCTTTAAACGCAGTGACATTTTGAGGCAAATCATCTGATTTGTCCTTACTACACGTATATTGAAATAATATTGATATTTTTATTTTATAGAAACGAGGAGAGAAAATCCCAAAAAATTTGGAATAATGAATATACCACCTCCTCGATTGACCTACAGACAGTATTTACTGAAGCTATGTTTAATGAACTGCGTTGCCATGGTAATGTGTTCAAGAAATCGTGTTGCCATGGTAACGTATTTAATATTTCGAATAAATCACAGATCGACAATCCGTGATTAATCGATCATTTAGCGTGGTACATATCCGTACGCTAAATGCCATTTTAGTTATGTGAGTAGAAAAAAGATGTTTGAGTCCTGTCGTTGAATAAAACATAATAAGGGCAACTGATGACATTATAGTTCATTCTTGACTTTTCCGAGCAACCAGCATGTCCAAATATTTCTCATTCTCTATAACTAAATATCATGTGAATGTTGGAGACTGGGCAACATTGTGCTAAGTACTGAGAACTGAAAAGACCACGCCCACAAGTCGTGCGCAAGGTTGTCATGTTCACTGATTCAGATGTCCTCTAGTGTGAATTAATATTATTTTTATTTACACAAATTCATTATAAGCAATAAGCCACAAACCATAAGGGAACATTTTGAGACAATTGAATTTTCATTGCTAATTAGGGCTATTACCAATACTCAATTGAGAATTTATAAATCATTGGATAACTGATATTTCTGAAGTTCCCAATCGTATTTCAACACATGGCAACTGTGCTATGGTCTGCCCTTACTTACGAAATCGTGGCATCAGTCTTTACTGGCGGTAAATTTCTAGCCTTTTGAAAATTACCGTGGCATTATTGATGATTTTAGCACCTAAAAATCGACCGAAAAATTCTTGAAAAATATGAAATTGAAAGGTACAGTTGTATTCAATAAAAAAGCGTACAAGTATTAGAGAGAGAGTCAAAAATATAAAGCATGGGTTGCGTGCAGGAACTGTCAGATGACCGACGCTGGAGGCAAAACATTGAAACACAACGTCACTTTTCTTATTTGTTTACAAGTGATCGAAATAGTTTTCCACAATTATTTTGGCATATGAATCGTATTTTTCCGCTATTCATCAATTCGCTCATGCCACATCACATTGTGCTGTTGTAAAATGCACAAAAACTGCAGCGGAAGATGAAGGAATCCGGATGGTACATTATGATTTAAAAGTAAGTACCTACTATAGTCACTCACATATAGTTTTCATATTTGAAACTTGGTTATATCTCTGATTTCTCATCGGAATTCCTTCTGCAATAAGAGCTAATAGAGATATACCTCAAATTTCTAAAATAATACAAGAAGATTGGATTCATGCAATCAATCGGGAGGACTGGTCTGACATGCTGACGATCGTATGTGTTGTAGACATTTTCAATCTATTAGCAGTATTAGCTCGTATTGCAGAAGTGGCAGAAGGCAGAAGGAATTTCGATAAGGAATGACAACATTTCATAATGATATGTGAGATTACTATTTACCTGAAAAATCATATTCCTTAGTCTCTTGCTGCATTTTTTGTGCATCGTACAACAGCACAATGCGAAGGCATGCTTGAATTAATGAATAGCGCAAAAAACACGATTTGTATGCCAAAATATTGTGAAAAACTATTTCAATCCTTTGATTCCTCTGTAACCAAATAAAAAAGTGAGGTTCTGTTTCAATAATTTACAGAAGAATGAGGTTGTGATTCAATATTTTGCCTTCAGGGTCGGTCATCGTGCACGCGACCTATTGGCTGAGCCAGTTTTACACAACTAGATCTATGTTGACGTTAACCTCTCTTTTTATTTCACGGAAATCTCAAAATATCCTCCCTAGAAACTCACGATGTTCTTCGAACATAATCGGGATTCCCCTTCGTACGCTCCAAGAGATAAAAAAGAACAAAATCGCACAATCAAATTTAATCATTACAAATTTAAGTCAAGAACAAAATGAGTCACACTGTATACTGTATATTCTCGAAAGAATAACATTCAATAATAATAATTGAGTATACCCACTCGCGATGCATCTGGCATTTCTGACATGTATTCTAGCTCTTGCATCACACAATAATTGATAAGAATGGCATTCAAGATTGTTGTAAATGCGCACCCTCAATCATAGGAGACTATTGATCAATGGAAAACTGGTTTCAGCGAAAGAATTGATTATAGGTGTATGTATTGTATCGGCTCGGGAGTTTTATTGATGCGGAATGCATAAAAATCCATAATGGGGCCTGATCCGAGATAATGACTGACTGGACGTCAGCAATCGCCACCGGCCATTGAATTTCTTGTACAATGCACAGAGTACCTAGATGATCTGGTTTCACGAATCATGGTACAAATAGATGTTTAATGCTCGAATTATGAGAATGTACAGGGTGTACAACTCGGTGTACAACACTTGACATACGGTAGATGAAGAAACCCAAAGTCATCTCCACAACAGTTATTTGACGATCAGAGTTCGATCGAATGGAGGTACTTGTTTCGGGCTTATATAAGCCCATCATCGAAATTGCACTTCGGCGAAAAACTGTCTATTGTCTCGTCTGATTGCTATTCTCGGATAAGGCCTGGGCTATCAATTTGCAGTCTCGACTATAATAGACAGTGTTTCGTCCTTATTGGTACATACATAACCATTTTCGTAATAACTCAAAAATTATTGAATAATTTTCATTCAGATTCGGTATATGATTTCAGCTCTGAATGGGTCATTTTCTGCCCAGGAAGTCATCCGAGACATTTTATCCAGTGGTACGCTACAGGGGCTTGCGGTAACTTTTCCTACCATAATAACAATGTATGTCTTCTGTTGGTCCCTTGGTACTCAGGGATACCTGGTAACGAAATGGTCGATGGTCTGGCCAGAAAGGGGACGATGGGCTCAGTGATTGGTCCAGAGCCAGTCTAAGGGGGTCACTCGATCCTGGAGCAGGACAGCTGGAGAGAGGCTCCTGGAATGAAGCAGTCCAAACTCCATATAGGGAATGCGTCACGAAGATAGACCAATGCCCTATTAGCTTTGAACAGGAAGGAGTTGAAACTGGTGGTGGGCCTTCTGGCAAGGCACTGCTACTTGAACAAGCATCTCAGTACAATCGGGATTGTGGAGGATACTAAATACAGATGATGCTTAGAGGATTAAGAGACTTCTACTCAAGTAAATCAGCTACAAGAGAACCCCCGCAATTTTCAAAATTCTAAGTCCTTTTTCCCCAGATTCTACGGAAATTACAGTGTTGCATGGAGGAAAGCCCCATAAGAGCCCATGTAAAGCAGACTAGATTTTTCCGTAGATCTACGGACTTTTTCAGCGGATTTTAAGGTCCATTCTGCAATTTTTTACTCTTTCAAGGTCATCCGGCTCCAACGCTAGCCCGAAGCTGCTGATAAGAATAGCGATACGTGACACTTCCTTGACACTTCATATAGATAGTCGCTTGCATGTTATACTATTTTCTCTGCTAGCTAGTTTATAGTTAGATTATTCGTATGATGACGTCATCGTCGATCCAATTTATATTTAGAATTGAATAAAAAAAGTGTTGGGTCTGTGTTGGGAATCGATCTCGGGTCCCCGGGTCGAGAGTCCGACGCGCAGCCATCAGAGCCACGACCACCACATGATATTAATTATAGTTTGGAATGTTACATGCAGCATTGGAGCAGACCGGCAAGCACAAGATCCCTTACGATGATTACGCTATGCAACATTGTTGTTGCGATTACCACGCGCGCATTCCGGTAGATTGAAAATCCTTATCGCAATTAACGAAATAATATAAATTATGATGAAATATTCACATAAAGTTGTTATTCTGTATACCGTCGCTGGCGCGCGCTCATCTTTGCAACGGATCTGTAGAGGTAGAGCAAAGCGAGAGATGCGTTCCAGAGATAAGAAACTTCGAGTCGAAAATAATATCCATCGCTGGCGCACGCTTATCTTTGCAA